CTGAAAATGAAATTTACCATGTTGTTAAGGAATGGGGAGGTTGCAGTTTTGGGTCTTAGCATTTAAAAGGGGTCAAACAGAGGGGTGTCTGGTTCCGATTAAAAATTTGGGTGACGGCGCAGCAATGACGGCGGGGGTAATGGCGCGGGTGACGGTGCAGGCTGTCAGACAAGTTAATCAACAGTCCATACCAAACCAACCGTCAGTAGCCATCAAACACATACAAACATATTACGCACATAACTTTCATACTACACACAAACAAATAACCTTAACCAATAGAATACAAAAAAACCCGGAGGTTTGAAATCTACGATTTTCCTTGTTTTATTTTAGTTTTAGTTTCACAAGTTGCCTTTGTGTCCATTGAATACATGTATTGGTTTAAACCGTGGAGCATTTTACCAACGCCACCATTCACTACATTTCGCGCGCTTTGTGTTTTTCAGACTAGACAAAGGAAGAAGAAAAGTAGCTGAAGGAAGTAGCGACAATGAAAATGTCAGAAACATTAGAAATAGATTTTTTAAAAAGTAGCCTTCTGTATTGTTTTCAGTACAAATGTAGATCCCATAGAGAATTTTGTTAATAATAAAAAGGTTATATGTACTATCCTCACTTTGAGATGCATCAGTTACCACCCAACAACCAGGGGTGGAGACTATTAAGTCACATAATGTAGTAGATACCAACGAACAAGAATGTTCATGGAGTATTCTCACCTACTGTACTGGTAAAATCGAAAATGTTACTCACCAACTGTAACATGACATGTACATGCAGATTAGGTGTTACCGCTACAGTTAGTGGAAATTTACACATTGTAAAGGTAACCAATCTACAAGAAGGCAACACTCGGTGGACACTTTATATACAGCAGGACTGTCAACAACTTCTCACATCGGACAGTAGAGCATTTTACGCTGCAGCTTGACTGTAAAAGAAAATTTTGGGACATTACTAACACGTGGATACGTAATGTCTCTCCCTCGATGTTAACTTACACCTTGTTAGGTGCCAATAATATTACTGCAATCAATAAAGAAGCTGTACTGGCATGTTGGTTAACTTGTTGGTTTCCGAGTGTGATCATTGGACTGATAAGACGGTATTAAGACCATGTAACAGTTACATGTAAGTTACTCAACATGATGGAGAGATTGAAATGTTAAAATGCAGAATATCACTAAAAACGTAAGATTAGAACAATTTCTAGGAGGCTAGGAACACAATAACTGCTGTACTTTGGCACGTATTGTGACAAGAGTTAACTATTAGTGAACTTACAAATAAATGTAGTCTACATGTACCTAAATTGAGCTGCCGCGATATTTCGCCGGGGGGCGCTTTTCACAGGTGGGCGGTTCTGCCAAATCCTTGGGCTGCCACATACGTGAGTGGTCGGCAGTTTAGGGTTAGCGTTGGTATTAGGGTTAGGGGATGTCAGGGTTAGGATTGGGATCATCGTTCAGGGCTAGGGTTAGACTTACGATTGGAGTTAGGTTAGACTACGTTTAGTCTCCCACATCATGACAAACTAACACCAAGAAGTGTTGGAGTCATGTATTTGGCAGGATCATGTATTTGGCTTGACACCACAAGCATGCCACAAGGTTATGACGTAATACCTTTGACACAGCTCCACGCTGGTGGGCAAGGGTAACGTTACCATGTTTAGTCTCACGAACATGGCTTAAGCACAAGACCATTTCTTCAGAAATTTCTTTCTTTCAGAAAATAAAACACGAACTTGAGTAGCAAAATTAATACGCTATTTCTAAAGCCCTCGCAACCTGATTGGATGAGTCCATGCCATCACGTGACACCCATTTCCAGGGAACAGGAGGAATGATCATTTAAAAATAATTAGACTAACCAAGTAATAACGTAAATTTTCACGCAGGAGAAAGTCCATAGCTATGTGTCCCAACTTCCCAACAGCAAAGTATTAGTCTTCAACTTGTTTAAAGCTGATTTGATCAAATTTTATGTAGTAGTGAGGGCCACAATACTTGTACTGCCATTTCGTCGCGGTGGTATAAATGGTACATGCCACTCCATGTGTTGTTGGGGCGTTGGTGCGTAATGAAAATGTACAAATTATATTCAATTGGTGACACCAGTTGGTGACACTCATATGTCACCACGGGAACTCATATGTCACCACGGGAACCATAAGTCACCACGGGAACTCATATGTCACCACGGGAACCATAAGTCACCAACACCAACTGGTGTCACCTGTGTCACCAACACCAACTGGTGTCACCAATTGAATATAATTGCTTGTTCCCAATCTTGCACGTCAATGCTCTGCTCATACATTCAGTCGAAGGTATTCAGTCTGTAAACGTCAACATGAGCAATAACTCCATCGGACAAAGCGGTAAGTTTAAAATTGACTATTTTACCATTGCGATGCCAAGACATGTCCCGAGCATGCCCTCAGTTCGCTGTCGTAAACCTGACAATGAATGTGGCCGTGAAAATGTTATCTACACGTGCCCCATCATAACGTAATATAACTACTGTTGTTTTTTTCTATCTTCAGATCCTGTCGTCGAAATTAGAATTAAAGTTTTCGTCAACAACGGTGAGGTACAGGTCACTTCTGATGTAAACAAGACGAAGCCTGCAAACCCAGGTACGCTTTCGCTTTACATGTCGTTTAGAATCTACATGTATTTCAATAATCCAAGGTATTTGTGAGTCGGAGAAAGTGTCCCTCATCTCTTAGCTTCTTTTGCCCTCTTTTTAGAGTCCGCACGTGAAACATTTCTGTTCTTGTGTGATTGTAGCTTTAGATGAACCGATACTTCCCCAAGTTGTAAGTAGTCCGGCCGAAGTGCTATAATAACATCACCGATGCCAACGATGACTGACTGATGTAACGTGTTCTTGTACTTGTGTGCGACCGCAGGACACCACGCGAACCCTCGGACCGACTCACCACCATTGATCGATCTCACCACAGACGAAGACCAACGTGATGGACTGGTCAGCAATTGTAAGTTTTCTTTTCTGTCTTCTTTCTTGTCCTTCCATAATCTGCAAGTAAATCTTACATTAGTAGGTTACAGCCTTGACACCGTAGCATCTGCTTGGAAATTACTCCTCCTGTACATATGTGCATGCCGTGTGTGAGCTTGTTCAACATTTCTCTCCCTTTTGTCCTTCCGTCTGTACTGTCAACATTCTCATGTTTCCCATTGTTGGTCGTTAGAGAAACATTTCACTGGTCGGTCCCCACGTGGCCCTGGATCAGTCTCTTGCCCAAGCGGTGGTAGAGTGTGGACATTCATTCTAGCAGCCTTCAGTTTATATAGCAATGGTTTACACTGTCTTTCTTCTCTTATCTCTGTCTCTCTCTCTCTGTCTATATTTCTCTTCTTGCCTCCTCAGCTATTAAGCTCAGCACGCGAAAACTGGGACCTGTCCATGTATTGACGCAGGTCGCACTACCAGCACCGACGCCTCATCCGAGGATACCCCGGCCGTAGTGGACCTCACACTACAGGAAGAGGAGGACGTTGGCGTTGGCTCAGAGGAGGACGACCCAAAAGAGGACGATGTCCAAGAGGAAGACATTCTCGTCCGTGACGTTACAGAGGAGGAGTGGGAAGAGTCTGGGTTTGATCGAGGTTAGCGTTACATCCCATCTTTCTTGTGTCATTGTTTCTTTTTTTTTTTCTTTTTTTCTTCATTTTTTAGTTTCACAACTTGCCTTTGTGTCCATTGAATACATGTATAGGTTTACACTGTGGAGCATTGCATTACCGCCACCATTTATCATATTTTGCTTGCTTTGTGTTTTTCAGACTAGACAAAGGAAGAAGAAAACTAGCAGAAGAAAATGTCAACATTAGGTATATTGGAAAGATTCAAAACTAAAAAAAATAGTATTCCGTAATGTTTAAGGTACAAATTTGGATTCAAAATATCGTTTTATCGATGTCAATAAAAGTCGTGAACTTACGTAGTGTTCGAATTCAGAAACATTCTAGGCATTATTCCTCTTTGTTATGGAAAGCATTTTGACTTGTTTCTTTTTCTTATTTGAGGCACTTGATTGTCGTATCTGCATGGAAAATGCGGAAATTAGTTCAACATTTTGCTGTGAACTTGCAGAATGATGCCATGCTGTTCTAAATGTTTTCGAACAGATCCGTAGATCTGAGATATACTCTGGATAAATAAATAAACTTGAAACTTAAAAACCCTGGGCTCATTATTACTAGTTTGCAAAAATTATGTCTTCTGACACAATAAATAAGTTGTTTTCAGTTGAAATTGAATAGCCGAAACAAAGTGCTGTGAAATATCACTTTCGATAACTTACACCTTGTTATATTTGAACACAGTAACTAAGTTGTAATCTCCAAGCAGACGTTTCGGTGGCCGCAAAAGACAGTATCAAATTGGCAAGACAGTATCCATTTAATAGCCACCCTTTGGTGGCTAATGTCAGTAAAAGTTAGCCACCCTTTGGTGGCTAATGGGCACTCTGGCCGATGAATACTTGCCACCGAATGATCTACTTGTCTTCACTTTATTTGCATATCAATCAATAGGTTGTGCTTATAAACCTGCTTTCACCTCTGGTCTCTCAGTCACTGACGAAAGCTAGTGGATACTAGCTGAAACGTCTGACGTTTTCAAAATCATATCCAGTTGCTTGAGTAACTGCTTTTTGGCGTATCGTATTAACATATGGTTGATGAAAAATGTCTTGAGTGCAGGGATGGTCCAGTCACATTTCTTGTACCTGGATGTCTAACCTTCATCGACGGATCCACTTGGAGATTACCTCAGGCTCAAAATCAGATTTGTACTCCCTGGATTTTGAGCCTAAGTTAGAAGATGGCTGGAAATACCCCAATCACTCAGAACCCTCATGTTTTTGTTGTGACGTGATCATAACATTAGCTAGATTGGTATAGCCGTTAGAGTTCGCCAGGAGGCGCTTTTTCACTAACAGGTGGGCGGTTCTGCGGTAAAGCCGTGACCTTTGACACAGTTTCACAATGGCGGCTCACGGAAAATTTGTCTTCCGGGTTTTTGCCGGTAATTTTGTCAGAAATGCAACGTTTTTAAAGCCGCACACAGCCAGTGCCACGTTACAAACAACTACCATAGGAAGGAGACAGTTTTCTACCAGGTTGGTTCACTTCAATTCCTTTCAAGGGCTTGGAAATTCTTGGTTACGTAAAGGGTAGCCGTGGCGCGCGACTCTTGATTCGAATCGCAAAGGCTACGTAAAGGGGTAGTCCTGCTAATAATTTTATCAGGCCTAACATAACGTTACATAGTGATACTATTTTTATTGTTAACCAAGGAGGTTAAAAGAAATAAAAACGATGTAACGAACTGCTATGTGTCATGGCCAATTCCTTTAGATCGCCTGTAAGAAGAGTTGACGTTTGCATAATTTTCAAACACTTAATTTGACACAATTTCTAACCTTGAGCAGTAACACAGGACAGACAGAGTTTGATGTGGTGATAGTCGGAGGGGGGATCGTCGGCTTGGCTGCCGCTCGGGAGCTCATCCTCAGACACCCTCAGCTTAAGTTCGCAGTCCTTGAGAAAGAGAAGGAGCTAGGTGAGTGTTACTGTAGTACAGCCATCAATAGTAATTATTGCAATAGTGACAGAAAGAATATATTCAATGATCAACACACATTACATAATGTGTGTTAAATTTATTGGTTGATGTTGGGGCAAATTGAATTATGAACACAATGGATTGACATCATTGCTTTTTCTGAATTTTCAAAACACTGTTACTAATACACAGAACACAGTTGACATGACAAGCAACCAAATAGATATTTAAAAACTGTCAGATGTTAAAAGTAGTGATGGTAGTGACTGTGTAGCCTGGTTACCAAACCTATTATATCTCCCGAGTCCTACAGCCTCTCCGCAAATATCGGCTGTAGGAGCTCAGGAGCTACAATGTATAATAAGTTTGGTAACCAGGCTAGTGACTGTGGGACTAACCAGGATGGTACCCAGGCTACTACTTCTCTTCAGTAACTAATAGAATCTGTTGTGTAGTTAGTTAAAAAGGTATTTATCCGAAATTAGTGAAAACTATGAATTAATAAATGTATTATGAAGTGAAGACCATAGGAAGGATACTGCTTCAAGACATTGAGACAAAGTGTAAGACCTTCACACATTAAACCCTCCATCCCCAGCCTCCCACCAGAGTGGACACAACAGTGGAGTGATCCACAGCGGCATCTACTACACCCCAGGCTCCCTGAAGGCACGGCTCTGTGTGGAGGGGCTGGACCTTGCCTACAAGTACTGCGATGACAACAACATTCCATACAAGAAGACTGGAAAGGTTGACTGTGTTGCTAACAAGTCTAGTACAAAATGAATGTACATGTAGATAGAAGCCATGATGGTAGACTGGACCATCAGCAGTTTATGATCTATGAACCTAATAATACTGTCTACAATGACTTCAGATCTAAAAACAGATCTAAAAACCCAATCTTCTGATAAACTCACCAGTTTCTTAATCTCCCAGCTAATTGTACCGGTGGCTCAGACAATGATCTCAGTGTCCCATTATCAAATTCACACAAAAATGATGATTAGCAAAGACTTGACATCTATTATCATTGCCAGAGAGCTCACCAGTTCCCTCCGCTCCCATGCAGCTGATAGTAGCGGTGGAGCAGGAGGAGGTCCCCAGGCTGGAGAAGCTGTACGAGCGAGGTCAGCAGAACGGGGTGAGGGGACTCCGTATCATCGGGGCCGACGAGATCAGGGAGATGGAGCCACACTGCAGGGTGGGTTCGGGTTGTTCAAGTACATGTGTAGTAGTAGACTGGTTTAATAGTTCTTAGCAAAAGATATACATGCCTCCTGGCAGCCGTGGAGGGCTGAATTGTGAGGCTATTGCAGAGGTATCAGTCTATAAAATGATTACAGTTGTGATTACGGAACAATGTTGAAATTTGCTTATTCGACATCAAAAATTCTAAGAACATTTGTGATTGAAGGTGATTTACAAAACAATTATGTAACAGTGACTTTCTGACACCTATTAAAAGTTGCTAAAAAATTAAGTTGGGGCAATTAGACTGATGTTTTCTTAAGGTTTGGAGATAAACCCGTAGGTGGCAGCATCAGTCTGAGAGCAAATATGATGTCTGGTGAACTTCTGTTGTATCTTGCCTGGATGTCAGACCTATAGCACACTGGGCCCAGAGTTAGCCAGCGTGAAAGGGTTTAACTGAGGCCTAGGGGGGCTGTGTTATAACCTCCTTGGGGACATGTTGTAACTGGAGCTGAGAAACTAGCCTGTGTAGGCCCTGGAAACAGTCTGGAACCCAGGCTATCATGTTGGCGTTGGAGCCAAGGAGCTGAGCTGTGTAGGCCCTAGAAACAGTCTGGCAACCAGGCTAGTTGTATTAGTATCTCATGAACAGTTGTTGTATCCCATTGAAGAATGTTATCCTAGCTTGCCATGCATAAACTCACAAAGAAACTAACCTATGTTTTTTTGTGACTCCATATTTAAGGGAGTAAAAGCCCTGGACTCTCCCAACACTGGGATAGTGGACTGGGGCGAGGTCGCAAAGTCCTACGGCAGGAACTTCCAGCAGAGCGGGGGGCAGGTTTTCACTCAGTTTGAGGTAACGGATTTCAAAACAACCAAGGAGAGCCAAGGGAACAGTGCTGAAGGTGGGTGGACATAAACAATATGAGAAAACTTGTCATTCACAGAATTGAGAAGACTATTAAAGTTGTAATAGATTACAGGAAAGCCTCAAAAGTAATACTGAACAAAATGATAACAATTTTCAACTTAATGTGTTAAAACATTACATGCTTTTCTGTCTGTCATGTTCCCAAACAGGTCTGAAGTATCCTGTGACAATAGTCGGGCAGAACAATGTAAGTCTTGGTTTTCTTGTGGCAACGTGCATCAGTAGGTTTGTAAACTCATTGTTCAGTAATTACCACTTGGAATGTAGCAGTAGTACAACTTCTGTAATGTGCAGTAAATCTACTCATTAAACTGCTTAAAACAATGTACGATCAACAAAGCTGAACTTCGAAGATATTTCTTTGCTGTGAAATGAAATATGTTATTGTCATCATCCCTCAGCAAACAGTGCGTGTGAGGTACGTTCTAACCTGCATGGACCTGTAGGAAAGCACTTTGGCAGAACATACTGCGCCTGTGCAAAACCCAACATGGAGGCGACATAATGTTTTACTGAATGTTCTGAAATGAATATGTCATGATCATCTCACAGCAAACAGTGCGTGCGAGGTACGTGCTGGCCTGCGGGGGCCTGTACTCAGACAGACTGGCAGAGAAGTCGGGATGCAGCAGCGTGCCGAAGATTGTGGGGTTCCGCGGGGACTACCTGCTGCTGAAGCCGGAGAAGTGCCACCTGGTCAAGGGGAACATCTACCCGGTAAGTGTGCTGCAGGAGAGCGTGCCTGCAACTAGGCAACAGCTACTAAGTTTGTTTCCCTGTTGGTCTTGATTAAGGTTAGCATATGCTTCCCTGCTTTTCTTAGTTGATTTTTTATTGATTCAATTGATTTCTTTAATTGCTTACTTTGATTGATTTACATCATCATCCCGAAATCATGATTAAATCTCTGTGTTTTCCAAACTTTCTCAAAACACACTTTCTCTACTTTCTGTTTGAACTCTTCTTTTCTTAACCTCCAAGCAGATGTTTTGGTGGCTTCAATTGGCCAGGCTGTATCCATTTGTCAGGCAGTTACCATTTCACCACCCAATGAAATGGTAACTGCCTGGTAAATAGATACTGTCTGACCAATTTGATACTGTATTTACAGCCACCAAAATGTCTGCTTGGAGGTTATTCTTTTCTTTCTTTTGTTTGATTTGATTATCACCAATCACTGCACTAATCCCAACACAAGGTTCCCAACCCTGCCTTCCCCTTCCTGGGGGTCCACTTCACCCCGAGGATGGACGGCAGCATGTGGCTCGGGCCTAACGCCGTCTTCGCCTTCAAGAGGGAGGGATACAAACTAACGGATTTCAACCTCAGAGACACTGTAGATGCCCTGGGCTTCAAGTGAGTGTCAATGATACGTTTTCTGGTAGACCGGACTGAGATTGGTTACTCATTTCTTGGATCTATCTGTCGTTTTCGGACGTTTATCTTTTTGAGCATGCTGGTCAGCACTCAGAGACAAGATGTTAATCTGAAGCTACAGCCATGATAACAGTCTTTCATAGCCTCACATACTATAACCACACGAGCAATCACTGTTTTTGTTTACATCGTGGAGGTATTTGCAAATTATCGGTAGGCAAATCACACAAATTTCACCCGCTTTTTGCCTACCACTCACTGGCCGAGACATCAAGGCAATTGCTCATGTACAAAAGTTTTTGTTCACCTTAAGAGTCCAAGAAACAAGTAGCAAACTCAGCCTGGTCTGATAGAGTGTTACGGTGGCCGTAGTTTATGAGTGTAAGGATGTGGAACTGTATCGGAGCTGCCTTTCCAGGTGCCCAACCCGCGGTTCCCCTGGCTCGGTGTTCACTTCACCCCCCGTACGGACGGCAGCGTGCTGCTCGGTCCGAACGCCGTGTTAGTCTTCAAGAGGGAGGGCTACAGGATGCTGGATTTCGATCTGACCGACACGTTAGATGCTGTAGCATTCAAGTATGTCATGTGAAGATGTCTAAGGTTTCTGATACATGTTTTAGCAGTGCATGACTTGCCTTACTAGTTAGTTTTATGATTACTAGACTAGAATTTTTCCATGATTTTTTTTCCCCACACATTTTGTATCCCTGACTTTTGCAGGTGAAAATTACCATATGTTTCTGTCATGGAAGATTTTGGAGATCATTCTTTCTGTCTGCTGTATAGAGTAGAGTGCTAACCAATGTCTGTCAGCAGTCGTTCCTCAGTAAGACATCTGGAACGGCATAGTTCCTGTAGAACTTTTATTCAGCAGAACACTCCAGTCTTACTGATTGTCTGGTAGCTTGAGGAATGAATCCACCCTACTTTATATCCTTGCTGTTTGCTGTTATTTGTGTTGTTGTTTTTATCCAGGGGTCTGCGTAAACTGGTGTACAAACACTGGCAGTTCGGTGTGGGGGAGCTGTGGAGAGGTTTCAACATGGCGGCGCAGGTTAAACAGCTGCAGAGATACGTGCCTGAACTCAGGGTACAGGATGTCACCAGGTCAGTCGGTCTCACCCTTTCATGACAGCTCACGGTAACGTTATATTTGTATGCTGGAACATGCCCAGGGCTTGAAATAATTTTTTTCAGCCTACTTTGAAAATGACCTGCACCAGACAAATTTTACCCGCACCACTTAGAATTCAGGAATTTGTATTAAGGTTAGTTGCTTGGTACAAAATACTGTATTATAATGTATATGAGGGATTGTATATATTGTCTGTTTTGTCTATTGTAATTTGTGTACACAAACTCTTCCAATTCAGGGATTCTCATCCCTGTTGCAAGGTTTGCTTTTTTGGTGTAGTGAATAAAGAATTTGAGGAAGCGTGAATCACACTAAAAGTCTTCAGAAACCGTTGCCACCTCTTCTCCTCATCAGGGGCCGAGGTTTGAACTCACGACCTCCCGGTTACAAAACAAGCACTCTACCCTATTGAGCTATTGCTATGGCACTACCATTACCTGTCCACCTTTCCTCCCCAGGGGCCCGTCGGGTGTGCGTGCCCAGGCGCTGGATGAGGAGGGGCAGCTGGTGGACGACTTCGTGTTCGACGGCGGAGTTGGGGAGCTCGGCAGCCGGATGTTACACGTCAGGAACGCCCCATCTCCTGCCGCCACGTCATCTCTAGCCATCGCCAAAATGATCGCAGACGAGGTCCAGAACAAGTTTGAGCTTTGATGCAATAATACTAGTAACAAGGAAAGAGCATGTCGGTAGAACGTACAGCACCTGGGCGAAGCCCCCATTTTTCATGGTTTTGATTGGATTTTTGGTCAACATTGCACCAGAATTTTGCGTGGTGCAGACAATATTTTTCATTTTCATTTTTGGAAACTGCAGACGGAGTTTAAACCTTATATGCGCGACTATAACCTTATATGAGATGTTCTGCTAAAGTGCTATGCACATACATTACTGGTTTCGCACAGGTGTAGTACATTCTGCCAACATGCTCTATAAAGGTAACATGCAAAGCAAAGCAAATGTATAGTGTTAACCAACAAATGGCCCAGCCTAACAAACTACTGTTCTGATTATACTTACTCAAATACACTCAAATATACTAGTATATGGTGACAGAGGTCCAACTCTGTCCTGCCAATTTGCTACATGATGTAATCCCACACCAAAGGGTGTCTGCTACAGCACCAGTTACCTTGGTGACAGATGTCTGGTCCAGGTCATTGACCTTATTTGTTTGGAGAAGAAGAACCAGAGCAAAACGTTTTCCTTCTGGGAAGGCAAATATAACTGCAAAGTTTAATTGACAGATGGGGAGGTAAAATACAATTGACTACAACAGGTTTTAGTCATGGGAGGTGGGTAGGTGATAGTAGAATATTGTGGAAAGATCCTTTGCTGCTAATTTTTAATGTCTTGTCAGGTATAAATCCACCCATCAACCTCACCAATCTATCTATGATACCTGACAATTTCAGGTAAATTTTCATTTTGTATAACGGTTAGAGTAGATATTGTACCTTAAAGTAATAGATCTAATTAAAATCGTGATCTAATGGCTTCAAACAAGAAAGCATGTTTGACCTCACATAGAATTATGGCTCAAATTGACCACTTAGATTTATTCTAAAACTCATGGCTCAGCTATACCAATTGTGTCATGACTCCATGACTTGAATTAGTGTATTTGGTATTACATGTTGTGATGTTACATGACTAACCTCAGGGGAATTTCCTTGTCTTCCATGTGGTAACAACAAGAAAAAGTAGTTGCAACTGAACTGAAATATTTCATTGATCTCAAGTATCACAATGATTGATCTCAAGGAGATGAACAGAAATTAACTAAATAACTACCTCAATTTCAAGGAAGGTACAAGCTCAAATGTCATCAAAACTGTGCCTCTGAAGGTGGTGTACATGTGCAACTGATGTTCTGAAATTCTTAATAATGTCTTCCAGTCAAGAACCTCGAAATAGTTTGGAATCTACAACAGCAATCACAACAGCATCATCCAGCAATTGAACCAAAACCAAAACCTACTTGTTCCATCAATGTACTTAACACATGTGCTTTTAATAACGTGTATGTAAAATTATGTAGTTTTCTACCTTATACCCAGGTGATTCGGTGCAATATATAGATACATTTTTATTTTAATTGGAGGGCTCTATGAGCCAAGGTGCAAAGTAGAGGTGTTCTAGAAGTACGGTCAATCTTGGAAACACTACAATGTACTTTCAGGGTGGGACATTAACAGTATGGAAATAAAGACTTTTTCTATACCACTGTCTAATTTTGACAGTATGGCTGCCATCTATCAAATTATTTTATAAAATCATTTTACACCATGTCTGGTGTTGAGGATGGTGTGGTATGAAGTCAAACACGTTTTTTTGTTGTCACTGTACATGAATTACTGAACATCATGAACCATGTCGAAAGTTATGATGTTACGCTGAGATGAGAACAGCCGCCAGGTGCTGCTTTTGTTCCTATAGTATAAATAATGTAGGTGGAGAGTAAAAAACTGCGTGTTAAATCCGGACAGGCTTACCACAGACCACCCTGTATGCACGAGATTCGGTAATGAATTTTTTGTTTCTACCACATGTCTCTGTTGAAGGGCTTTGTAACAGTTAAAGGCACCTTGACGGTGTAAACTACGATGTTGACTTGTTCAGTAGATGTGCGCTTATTGTGATAAACCGGTGTGTTGAACACCTATAATGACGTTGCCGCCAAAAGTCGTCCTTTGAGGAACGGCGACATCCAAAGACTGCACGCGTTGTGAGGTTTGTCGACCTATTGTATCCAGAGCCGTGTTTTATCCAGAACCATCCTCAAGCACGTATCCAGAACCAAGCCTGGGGCAAATATAAGTTCTTGGATACGCAGAGACTATCCAGAACCGTGCCCCTGATTCTAACCCTAACCCATTCCAGATTCAGGCATAGAACTGGGAAGGCACGGTTCTGGGTACAACAGGACTCTTACAACTTCCTCGCGTGCACCACGATTTGCGGCATTTCCCATATAACCTGCCCCTCCTCGTCTTTCTGGTACAGCCCACGTGCCATGTTAATCGCGTCCTCCAGAAATTCGTCCTGTTTCTCCTCCGGGATGTACTGCAAATGTCCCAGAAGCGGTCGAGAAAACGCCTTTTCTTTCTCCAGGGAGTCGAACTTGAAGGTGAGGGTGTGGACTTCGCACGTCACCACCTCGAAGCCGCAGTCCTCCAGCAAGCGCGACATGCCGGCAACGTCTCCCTTTGGCCACTCGTACAGTTTCAGAGTGTAGTCCGTCAGGTAGTCCCGCCACTTGGGGTGGTGCTTGATGTCGCGCGCTACCGTCACGGCAGGGACACCCGCGAACAGGTTGAAGAGGAGCTCCCCACCTGTGGCAAAAATGGAAACATGTCAAACTTTAGTTAATTCATCTGAGATTCACAATAAAACAGTTACTCAAGCAACTAACTGGATAGAGTTTGAAAACTGTCATACGTTAAGTACTGTCACTGAAGAAAAGTATTGCATGGTATTGAAACGTCTGACAGTTTTCAAACTCTATGCAGTTGAGCAACTGTTTTCCTGTGTATGATGCCTGGACGTCTAACCTTCATTGACCTAATCTGAGATTGTTTCACTCCATAAATTTTTTTCATATTTCTCTGATTACCCTGTCGACGTTTATCTACACAAACTCGCACTTCTGCGTCGGGCAGCCCAGTGCAGTGACGCACTCTTCATGGAAAGCCGGTACAGCATGGGTTAGGCCTCCCGTTTCAGCACCAAGGACGTCGCCAGCGGACGCACCGCTTCTTAAACTCCGACCGCAGCTCTGTCGCTCTGCGTCAGGGCGGCCAGGCTCATGTACTCTTCATAGAAAGTCCCTATAGTAGGGATTCCCGTTTTAGCACAAAGGACATCGCCTGCGGAAGCTCTGTCTCTCTTCCCCACTGTGTAGGAGCGGCCCAGTGCAGCCACTCTTCATCGGAACACCGTTTAGCCTGCACGGCAGGGGTTAGGGACCCCCCATTTCAGCACCAAGGACGTCGCCCACGCACGCACCGCCACTTTAACTCCGACCTCAGCTCCGTCGCTCTTTCCCCCCGTGTAGCGGCCGCCCAGTGAAAACACTCTTCCACGCAACGGCCGTTAGCCAGCATTTCAGAACCAAGGACATCACCCACGAACACACTACTGTACTGGGGTTGCAGCCGACTGCTCTCGGTGACTCGTTGGGTGGCTGTTTGTACCAGTTTCTGTTCCCTTGGATCATCAACACACACTTTTATTCTATCTAATTTAATTTCTGAATAGGCAAACATTCTGTTCTGAAATGAAATGTGCCCAAACACCTTCCAAGCAACCAACCTATTGTACTATCACTCACCTTTCTCCAAACACAGATGGACATTCGCCAGAAATCTCTCCTTGTCCGGTATCCAGTGCACGGTGTGAAAGCTGACTGCCTTGGTGAACCTCCCCCGCCAGTTCTCTCTGATACCTGACCCGTCCTGGATGTCCAGCACGTGGAAGGAGGCTTTCTCCGTCGTGTTGCTGGAGGTGGCGAAGTTGACCATGTCCTTGGAGATGTCCAGTCCCACCACAGTTGCCACCTCCGTCTGATCTGCAATGTGCCTAAATAAAAAATATGACAGCCCCTGTAATCTCCAAGCACACAATATCAATTTGGCCATGTAGTATCTATTTGCCAGACGGTTACAGTTTGCCACCCAAAGGGGTAAAATGAGATACCAGAGAGTAGCACAGTTTGTGCGTGCCCAAAAACATAGATTTGCCTCAGGCAGGGTTCTGGATACGCATGGACCATTCAGGACGGTGCCTGAGCATGGTTCTGGATAAAGCGACGGTCACAACCCGCCGTACGTGCTTTTTGTCCGTACGTTTATTTGGGAGGCTGCGTCTGCTACGTTTTTTCTGAAAAGTGGGGAAGGAGTGGCATCGACGCACGTCACTCGCACGGTTTTGCAAGGTGTCAGAGTGTGGTCTGCACGCCACGTCTGGCCGTGAGCGGTTGCATGCATCGTACGTTGCGCAAGTGGTAAGTGAGTTGTACGTGCTTACAACGTACGATCTCTGTGCGATTGCAACTTTACCGTAAGGAGGCCGTACTCACACGTGCGTCTTTCGTACGGTACGTACGGGGCACGCGCGTCGCTCGTACTCGCACGCACGGTGGTGAATCCGTAGACCGCACGCAGAAAAAGTTTTACATGCACTTAAAGTTCTACGGCGTGTCTGCGTGCTCCCAAATCCGTAGGATTCCGTACGGAGGCGGTACTTACCACGCACGGATGCCCTACGTTTGTCCACGTTTTTGCACGTAGACAGCACGCAGAAGCACGTACGGCGGGTTGTGACCGTCGCTTAAAGCGCGATTCTGGATACAACAACGCCAAGGGAAAGTTCGTCACATATTCATGTCCACAGTAATGGTGCGTAGTTTTGTCTTGTTTTAGGGACACAAGGGTAGACAGCACTTATATAGATAACACCATATAAATATCGACAGGGACGTTTGGAGGTCATGAAAATTCATGAAATCTTAATGTGAAAAGAACGATGGAGACACATGGGGAAAGCAGAGTCCGTAATATCGTTATGAAAGCTTAATGACCTGAAATGCGTACAATGTTCTATAAGAGATTTTCCATCCAGCGACATTTTAACAAAGTTAAGAATCGTAATTGCGTTCTTTAAGCCGTTTACCGTGCAGTCCGGCGGAAAGGAATTAGACAAACTGTAATTTCTTAATCGCATCAGGAAGCCGTTCGATTGTAATGTACTTAACTCTTGTGATTATTATACCTGACATTTTTAGGGGACGATAGATTTATTATTCATTGAAGCGTTCCTCAAAACACCACGTAGGTATGTTGTTATATGACCAAAACGATGTATTATCACTGTATTTCCGGGAACCACTGAAAAATGTAGTTGATCGTGATTGGATTTGCAGTTGCGAGTTATTTCCTACTACTATTAAACGTATATCACGGCACTATATACGATGGAATAACTGATTTCCCTGCAGACTGCGGGTGATAAAGCGCAGTCTGCCATTAGGATGATCAACATGGCACGGAGAACGGGACTCCGTAAATCAAACCGGAAATGGAGAGCTAGCTAGCTAGTGGAGCCTGCAGCCCAAAGAGGGGTCTCTCTCTACTGACTAGATACTGTGGACAGATACATCATATATATTCAAATGCAGCAACTCTTACAATACAAAAAGAGGTAAATACATAAAAGACTGTTTTGTTATTAGAAAAAAATGCCGAAACTGATGATTAGCCCTACTTTATTGTATACAGTAGTATCTCTTGATGTTTTAATAATTAGGATGTTAATTTTCATTCTATATCCCTTTCTTTATGTACTATGTTCAGTAGTCATTGCCATACGTTGTACCTTATCGTGCAATAAAGTTGTTCTTCTTCTTCTCCTGTAGACTGAATGGATAAAGACAAAGCACTAAAAGGGGCTGCGTGGGTGACCATTTTCCGAGTGCACGTCATCCGTTATACCCGAGAGCAAGATGACACAGCACTCCTCTCTTCTGTGGCGGTTATAATGCAACATAATTGAATATTTCATACCTAACTGTATAAACACGGAATATTGCAGTGAAACTGTTATGACGAGAATATAAAAGAAATCTGCATTGAAATTGCATCCCCTACTGGTGATGGTTTCATTACCGGTGATTTAGAAACACCCACACAACAATCAGTCTCAACTGCGGATGGCAAGGCTGTGTGTATGATCATCAATCCATCTACACTGGAGGGAAGGCGGCCAGTTTATTGTGACGCTTTTTGTTCCAGTGTGTTCCAGTCTGCCTGGAGCTTGGAGCGAAAATGGATACGTAGTGTTTCGTGGACTATAAGTTATTAAGACGTTTGCTGTCTATACAAAGGGCATTTCGTCCTGTCTTTTGTTGCTTCCTAACAAAAATATCCATTGTCGAGGTACGGTTGGTAGGCGAATGCTTGTTTGAATGAGCTTAAAGCTTTTATAATTGGCGGCCGGTATTTCGTATGCTGGTGTCCGGTCTACTATTTTAACTTTCAGGTTTTTCCAAGCCAGTGTCGTGCGATATCATATAGAGTGCAGAAAATGATATAAAACTAAAAAGATAACATTTGCAAAGCATATGCATATAATGTTTACCTTCACGTGGTCTGTTTATTCTTGCTCAAACACATTTACATACATGTATATAGTAACCAGCCCCTTGCTACAAAATGTAACTCAACACCACAGGGTGTCTGCTAAATCACCAGTCACCATGGTGACAAGCAGCCGTCTGGTCCAGGTCACTGACCATATTTTTGTTTGGGACGAAAGAAGAAGAAAGAGAGCAAAAACAACATGTTTTCCTTCTGCGAAGGTAAACAAACATAAAAGGACATACAGAGCGAGAAATTCAGCGGCCCCAGCTACTGTCCCCTATATATATTACCTCCCGTCTGTTTCTGCCGGCAGATGTACCGTACCTTGCTATCTCCCCGGTTCCACAGCCCACGTCCAGCACGACGTCCCCGTCTCGCCACGCCAGGTGCTTCCCGAGGAGCAGGAGCGCGTCCCGGTGCTGCATCGAGCGGGCTTTCGTGTAACCGCCCGCCGAATCCGGGTTCATGGTGACTGGCGAAAACTGACGATTTTCTGATTCTCCTCCGGATCCAATAGCCCGTATTTTGGAAATGAAAACCAGATGTACGCAGGATGCCACCGTCTCCTTTCTCTCTGTCTCACCTTATTTACTCTAATGCTGCCTTTGATCTACGATGAGAACGTGCTAGCTTCATGGACCGTTGTGTCTTACGTTGCTATGCCCCACCGGATCCAATAGCCCGTATTTTGGAAATGAAATGATGATATGTACGCAGAATCCCACCGTCTCCTTTCTCTCTTTCTGTGTGTCTCACCTTACGCGAATTGCCGCCTTTGATCTACGATGAGAACGTGCTGGTAGCTGCGCGGTTTCTTACGTTGCCGCGGGAACCGATATCGAATTTTGCAGTACTCCTACGTTTCGCGTGTAAATATTGGGTGTCTGAGCTCGCTACTACGCTATATTATAGATGCGTCGCCCGTCGATGGTATATACCGTGCGTGGATGCTGATATATAATTCAGATAGATGATATGTCACTGCGCAGTCTCCAGGGCTTTGGCAATGGCCCCCGGCGTTTGGTTCCCGCTTGTTGACCCATTTTTCCTGCATTATGCGTCAAACGCGGGCGGCGGCCGTTGGATACATATCCTGTCTCACAGGCAAAACCATCACTATGATATAGCATTCCTTTTGAAAATGATCCTTACACAGCAACTTGAATGAATGGTTTATTTACATCATTTTTTTTCAGGACATATCATACAATAGCAGCTTTCACCGGCTGAAATGAAGTATTTTTTTTTAATTTTTTTTCAAAACTTTATCAATATTCACAATGTTACATTAAAAAGAGGTACATAATTGACATACATGTACAATCGTGTGGGATGATACATAACAATTAAGGACAGGTTTTTTTAAAGGTAACGTTATCTGGGGATTGTCTATATATAATGATATCACATAAAAAGTCCCCATTGTTCATTGTGTTCTACTTCTATAATTTGATTTAGTCTGTGCTTGAAAATTGAGAGTTTTGGTTTGCAATTTGTTATGAAACATGTGTAACGTTAATGTTATATACAATATTTAGCGGTAAGAAGATGATTCACAATCACAAATAAACGATATTTCTGAATACAAAATCTGAATTCAGATCTTTCATTCAAGCAAATGTTTGAACGATGGTTGCCTTTCATTTGGCACGAGGTTAAAAAGAATCCCTTTGGAAGCCATTAAGCGCTGGTTACCGGCGTGTTTGAGACAGATTTATCATACTTACGGAATGATTGCAATCACTGATCCCGAACCCTTCCCAGGGGACAGCTGCGGGAGCAACCGGAATCACCCTCTGCATGGCGGGATAAACACGCAATCTCCAAGCAGATCCTAGGGTGGTAAAGACAGTATCAAATTGGCCAGGCAGTATCCATTGTCCAGAGTATTGGAGCCACTCTGGCCAATGGATACTACCTGGTCAATTTGACTCTGTCTTTTGCCTAGGATCTACTTGGAGATTAGAGATAACACTTTTTTAATGTCATAGCTGGGCGGCGATAACGTTCGGTACGGGTGTTCGGGGCTTCGATAAAATAATCCGAACGCGTTTTGCGTGAGCCACTTTCGAAAATTCGAATACTGGGTTCGGACGTTCGAATTGATGTTGTTACTTATTTTTTGTTTGGAGACACCAAACATTTGTCACATTTTGGATTAGGTACATTAGTTAGAGGAGAATATACGCACCATGTAGAAGAGATAATCGAGTCCTCAGTTGTTCTCATTCTAGTTTTTTTTTACACATGAGAAATTCCAAGCTGCCTGAATCTTCGAGCAGAATTTGAACCGAATCGTCACATAACGTTAACGGGCCGTTACTCCATCTACAGTGACAGTTTGTTATTGGACTGCCAAACCTGCCAAAATTGGACTGAACAACTAACGTTACTGACACACAAAAAAGGAATGATGAAATCTTCCCTCCCAATATCTGCTTGTAGATTTATTGCGCAGTTCAGCAATCACACCCAGTCCTTGACTTCAGGCGTCGGGTATGGTCCACATGACTGCCTCGTGACCGTTTGCTAGCAAACATGTACATTTATTGCTGATTGGTCATAGTCCCAAAGTAGCCAATCGGCTGTCACGTATGCAGCCACACCCACCGAGTAACCAATCGTCTGTCGGCATACTATTGACGGTTAAACTCCCAGGCCAAACGACGTTTGTTGACAGATGTGATGCATGACACGTGTACTTTGGTCTCATACGCAATGGTCAGCCCACCTGTGTATCGACGACTCAGCAAAAAGAACGGGTCAATATGTAGAGATAAGATGTTATTTATAAAGGTGATTAAGTGTCTGCATAAGGGCAGTAGTGGGATTATCTTGCATGATCAGTGACAAATAGCCTTTCAATTAAAATTTTGATTTTAAAAGGCGGAGAAATGAAGAGGGCCTAATTTTTCAGGGGTTCATAGGGTTGTTTTGTTATATGTCGTCATGACTACATCTCCCATCCAAGAGCTTACAATATTAGTTATAATCGTAAGTTATAATAGCATTAGTGATAAATATGTTTACAGCAGTCCATAGTTATGAGCTCATATGGAAGGTCAGTTCTAAATAGTTACAGGGCTATCTTGTCGTCAAGTGATCATGAAGCGGCAAAAAGACCGCCTTCCGCTACCTTGTTTCGCCACTACCGGCGTGGTGACATTCTGTATCTGCATAGCCGGTATAACCGCCCTTTGGCGTAACACACCAGCTCGCTGTAGGTCCTGGTCGTACGAATTTGATGACGTAATATTTTCCAGCAGGCTGGGACTGCTGAGACAGAACCAACAGCCGAATGTCCCCGAATGCTCTCGAATGATCGTCGAACGATCGTCTGTGACCGGTCACAGAGATAAAATTTTCTGAGCCTCGTGACAAGATTGTCAGGGTTTCTAATTACAGACGTTCGCCAGCCAATCCACACAATCTGTGCGTCTGTACACTAAGTAACTAAATGTACAAATATTTGCCAACAATAAATGAGATAAGAGACACACCATATTCACATGCGCAGTCCTCAGCCGACCTGTCTTTCTGATCACCCTACCAAACGAACAGGACAAGATGAAGGTGAGATGCGATTTAAAAGTTCACTTTTTCTCCGTTCATGGAGGAATTACGCTAGACTTGATTATTTAGTACGTTTATTTAGTACGTATTTTTATATGTGTGTGAAAAAAGTCTTAAGCCAAAAGAGTTGTGTTAATTGTATTTTTGTACATTAGTTTATTTTTTTAGGACATAGTGCTAATATGTAATAGAGTTCTGGTAAAAAAAAATGTGCTGGCACCCCCTCTAACCCATTTTTTTACCAAAAGGTCTATCACATATTTACCTTCTGGTAAAATAATGTGCTAGCACCCCCTCTAACCCATTTTTTTACGATTACGTTATCAAAATGTTATCGCAAACGTTTCAGTCGAGGAGAAAATCTCAATCCTTCACTAGCAAGGATCAGATGGTCCTTGTTTTCATAAGGTTGTAGAATACGAAGAAAATGGAGAGATAATACAGACTTCAGGCTTGGTGGTTTAAGTCAAGGTAAATTGAGAACGCAGTACCTTTATAAGACCCATACATGTGATAACTTTACATCTGTTGCATCTAACTTTATGTAACCCTCCTTTGGTTACCGCATGTAAAACTTTTGCCCTGAAATGATGACTAATTGTATTTTCCTAGCAAGACCAGAACATTTTCAACCATAACGACATGCAGGGGTTTTAAGATTCGTTAGGTTGTATTGTCGTGGACTGTACTTAATCTATATTTCAACAACATTACATCATATGTTTTCATGTTACATGTACGTACAATTAGCCTACGGGCAGGAACTTGCAATAAACTTACCGATTGAACAGTGATTTGAAGTTTGAGAACAACTTTACATTCATGTGAATATTTTCTACATTTCTACATACGTACATGCACCTTCATTCATGGTCAGGTCACACCAGGGTCAGGACAAAGGTATGTTATTTTGGACACACAGTACTATATTTATTGGGCTGGACTTTTACCCTGATAGCAGCACCACAGTCTACGCGCGTGGCTCAGGAGTTATGTAATCCAACTCGTAGACTTGACAAGGCTAATTCGGGATTGAAAGACAACTGACAGACTCCCCTGGTGCCACTGTAACTTCAACTTCTAGTCTATAGCCATTCTATAAGATTAGAAGTCCTCGTGTAAAACTTTCACAGTGCCATTTATCGCAAGTTTTCTCTTTGGCTCTAAGGAATAAAGCCTAGCTCTACGTACGTTGAAAACAACCTGTACCAGTCAAATATTACCTGCACAACTGAGAATCTGGGGGGCATGGATGAACTAAAACTGAAAACCATCGCTGTTATTTCTTCTATACTGTATAGGTGGTAATAGCCAATGCAGCAGATCATGCAGCCCAGTATGCGGGCCTGTGCAAGTTACGTGCAGGTAGACATCAGAAATACCTGAACAGCCCTTTCTACTAGTACACTAACCTGCATATACAAGTGGTATTTTGAGCCCTGACTATCCTCGTGGACGATGTGTCGTTTTTCTGCCGTTCCAGTCCGTCGCCGTGGTTCTTGCCGTTCTCCTGGCGTACCAGTGCCTGGCCGTCCGCCACCCGGGCCCACTGGTTCAGCCCGGAGGCCTGTCCCTGAGTCGGACCCTCAGTAAGCCCAGCAAAGTCGGCGACATGGACATGTGCAAGTTCTGCGTGGATTTCACTCATAACGCCATCCAGACTATTGGAGAAGCCATTCTCGGTGAGTATGCCATCGTCGTGATCAATTTGCTCACGACGTAGTGGGCAGGCCAAGAGATAGTAGGAAAGCATATTGTTCTTCTCCAAGCACATCCAGACGTCTGTCACCATGGTAACTGGTGGTGTGGCAGACATCTTGTGATGTTGGGTTACACTATGTTACACTATGTAGCAGGGCAGAGTTGGATAGGCTGGTCACCATGTCCAAGTATATGAATGTGTTTGAGTAAGAATAAACAGAGCAGTAGTTTGTTAGGATAGGCCATATGAATGTAACTGCATTGCAAATGTTAACCTAGTTACTCTGTCCTTCTTTTACAGAGGGCGGTTTGACGGCAGGCTGCTCAAAGTTGTGTGGGATCGTCGGCAACAAAACAGACAGCAAAGCAGTGGAGCTGGCCTGTGACGCGTTGTGTACGCTCGTGGGATTCGAAGAGTTCGTCAACGCATTCAACAAGTAAGTATATACTGTTGCCACGTACAATTTCCTCATCCGTTTTTTCCATTCAGAAGCCCACCAAAAGACCACGTTTCTACCACAAAACCCACTCATTATACAGAACGTTGCCTTCACAGAAGAAGTCAAACCTCACAATAGCAAACGTAATACATGTAACGTCAGTAGTGTAACGGTTATGACTTATTATGATTTGTATAATTAGGGTAATATGTAAATGACCACGTGGAAAGACTAGTTATAGAGATTATGCATATATTTGCGCGTTAGGTAGGCACTGATTGGTTGGTGAGAGCAACCAATCAGGTTAGGGACTATTGTGAACAGAGTTGAGCTTGGAATAGACAATCGCTGTGTTTGTCAGTCGGTGACCAAGGACTCAGGTGCGTGTACATGTGTAGTTGTAGCTCTGTAGATTAGTATCGTATGTAACTGTTAGTATTCTAATCTGTGTAGTCCTAGACCATTGGTAACTCTGTGTAACTAAGTGCTAAACTCCCCTGTGAACTGTTAGACCATATACCTGTATTAGAGTTAACATACGGATCAATAAACCCGGCTTCAGCAGAAGTAATCGAACTGTTTGGATCTCGTTTATACTAAGATAATAGACGCTAAGATACCAAACTACCACTAGACCTCAAATATTACATTGGTTCCCACACCGGGAATCGAACCCGGGCCTTGGCGGTGAGAGCGCCAAATCCTAACCACTAGACCATATGGGACTTATTATGATTTGTATAATTAGGGTAATATGTAAATGACCACGTGGAAAGACTAGTTATAGAGATTATGCATATATTTGCGCGTTAGGTAGGCACTGATTGGTTGGTGAGAGCAACCAATCAGGTTAGGGACTATTGTGAACAGAGTTGAGCTTGGAATAGACAATCGCTGTGTTTGTCAGTCGGTGACCAAGGACTCAGGTGCGTGTACATGTGTAGTTGTAGCTCTGTAGATTAGTATCGTATGTAACTGTTAGTATTCTAATCTGTGTAGTCCTAGACCATTGGTAACTCTGTGTAACTAAGTGCTAAACTCCCCTGTGAACTGTTAGACCATATACCTGTATTAGAGTTAACATACGGATCAATAAACCCGGCTTCAGCAGAAGTAATCGAACTGTTTGGATCTCGTTTATACTAAGATAATAGACGCTAAGATACCAAACTACCACTAGACCTCAAATATTACAGTAGTATAAGTTGATCAGACATCATTTGTATTACTTTACTTTACTTTCTCTGCACTGTGCATGCAATTAGCAATCAGCCATGATTTTACAAGTAAAGAGTGATTTCTAAACGCTTTGTACCCTGTTCGACAAGCCGATTGAGGTATCGCCTGCCTCCCTGATGATTAAGCCAAACAGTCACGGTAAATCTATGACGAACATTAATACAGTGTAATGATGAAACGATGAAACATTCCTGTACAACTCGCAGGGCCGACGTGGACCCGATCTACTACTGCGAGCTACTGAACCAGTGTCCGATTGTCGACAACGGCGATGCGACCATCACCCTTCTGTCCGTCAATCCAAAGTCCGGACCACAAGGTATACTATAAATCAAGCCGTTCAAAATGTCTAGCTTGCGACATACCATAGGAAAAGCAAACTGAAAACGACACTGCGACACAGCTTTTCCAGGACATTTCCAATCGTCCAACACCCTGTTCCAACCGGGCCGAGGATTCCAAATTGTTTACCACCATATCAAAGCTTACTATTCATGATTTGCCATGGGTATACACATGCTTCACAACACTGTTACATTCACCCCAGAGGTAAAGCATTTGCCTAGTAAATGCCTGAAGGATCCGCCCACTGTTTGATACAGTTTATACTTGTCTGGTTATACATTCATGCAGTCTTTCTTGTTCTGCAGGGACTTTTCTCATCGACCTTGAGTATGAGACGAAGAACGGCACAGGGACAGGGGAACTGCTGATATACCTGGACACTGTGGACGGTCTTCCGATAGGTAAGATCCTGGGATAAGACAACTTTTGATGATTGTATTATAATAGAAAGGCTAAACTTTATGTATGTCAAACACTAAGTAAATTGGGTCCACTTCACGGGTCCATTCCATGAACAAGGCTGACGGAGTTGGCCGAAAATTTGGATAAGTCCCAATTTACTTATAGTGTTGGACATAAAGTTTAGCCTTTCTGTCCTGTATTATATTATTTATTATACCAACACTTATTACTTATAGTACCAACACAGATGAACTTTCATGCTAAGCAAATCATACTTTATTCCTCCATACACCACCTCTTTTGGGATCTTAGGAGGAAGTTCCACGCTGAAAGCTTCTTTCCTAGAACACCTAACAACTGAACAAGCTACCACGTGATTATTTCCCATATGGGTATAACTTTTTAAGTCTAAAGTCACCAAACATCCGTCCTCACTGTTTGTACAGTAACCCAAAACATGAGCCTTGTTTTGTGGTGAACATGAAGTACATTAGAAATAGACTGATTGTAGATATCTTGTAAATAGAGGAAGAGAATGTAAAAACCTGTAAGTTGTAGGCTATTACAGTCTGCTCACTAGTTCATTGTTATTGTCGCATCTAGACTACTGTGGTGCAGCGTGGTTGCCAACCCTTGTACAGTGTAAGAAAGCGCAATTGTTGCAATTAGATAGACTGTTGTGTAGAGCTGCGAGGATTATCACAGGTTATACACTTCGGGATCATGTCCCAGTTGACAAACTGTTAGCGGAGGCAGGGATGGTGTCTCTGAGACATCGAACAGAAAAACTCAGCCTTGTTTCAGTTTTCAATGCTGTGCGAGGTAAGGCTCCATTGTCCGTACATCTCTGATATGTTCAAGTGGAAGTCTCCACCGATCATAAGAGCTCGCACTCAAAGAAATAAATGAAATGAATGAAATGTTCTGCACCGTCCATGTTACAAACCCCAGGTTCGTCCTTCCTGAACGAGCCCCAGGACCCAGGGAAGTACGGAGTAAAACTCAACCTGAACGCGGTGCCGCCACAAGGCTGCGAGGTCGCATGTGAATCTTTTGAGCCGGGCGTCTACAACATCACTATGCGTTAGTATAATGCGTTCCAAAATCGGGATAAAACGAAGGGGTGGGCAAAATCAACCTTGAATGAAAACTCTTAGGATCTTCCTAATGTTATTAATACTGGATCAAGACGATCTCGGGTATAATGTCCAGGGGTATAATGTCCAGGATGTAGCATAACATAACGTAACGTAACATAACATAACATAGCATAGCATAGCATAGCATAGCATAGCATAGCATAGCATAGCATAGCATAGCATAGCATAGCATAGCATAGCATAGCATAGCATAGCATAACATAACATAACATAACATTACATTACATTACATTACATTACATTACATTACATTACATTACATTACATTACATTACATTACATTACATTACATTACATAACATCACATAACAGCTATCCGCTGTGTCCTGTTTTGGCTTCCTCTTTCTTCTGGGATGAGAGGTTTGACTCACGCTAGGTCTCTTCTGTATCCACTTTTACAAACGTCTTGTAAAGTACCTTTTTTTTCATTGTAAAAGTGGCTGCGAGAATATAAGTTGTGCCTAAGTGGAGTTCGCAGTCCTTTCATTTGTATTTATCACTATTTTTCTGAATAAAAAAATAACATAACATAACTTACAAAGAAGACAAGCGTGACATTGCTGAACATTGTTAACAAAATATTATAAGGACAACATTGTCTCTTTGTTCCAGACGTCTGCAATGGTCAGTGTTACAGCAAACATCCCCACAGTAAGATCTACGACATGAAGAAAACCAACTTCACCATCACCGGACCACCACCGACACCATCTCCCTAGACACAAAACAGCGGCTACAAGGGACAAACGGATTAACGACGTTAATTCCCAGTTCTTATTCTCGCATGGTCCTCACTTGCCTGGCCACAGTACGATTTCCAAAGTTATGAAATGAACTTGACTGACTCGCTTATTATTATTGACCGAGCATTAAAGAGAGTTGTCATTTAACTTTATTGGAAAGACCACCTATATTCACCTAACTTGAATGGAACGACAGCAAACTTGAGTTCGTCATCTGATCTCGGTTTCTTTGCTCTGCTTCATCTGCTATGTACTTGTAATGTCCCTTTTCCTGTGTCTTTAATTTCGCACTTGTAAATAGACTCTTGGAAGTCAGTTTGTAATTGAACGGACCACTCTACTGCCTTTGAAGATAAATAAATAAAAATACGAAAATTATTTTCTCTTGTTTGTCCTTTTTTTACACGAAGCTGCACAACGGTTATAACGTCCCATAAACACAGACTTGCTAAATAATATAATAATGATAACATAATCATAAACATTAAACGATGATACGGACAATACTCATAGGTCAAATGTGCCTGGTTCTGGGGATAAAAGCCCGTGGTGCCAACATTTTTCACTACATACTTTTTTTATGTATTCCAACATGTAGTCACAAGACGTGGAGACAACCCACTCAACTTTCTTCAACTTATGTTAATGCCGCCACCAACACAGGGGACAATACAATACTCATTTTCACCTGAGCGAAGTGAGCGAAGTCGTGTAAAGTGCCTTTCCCACAATATCGGTGGCATGTCAGGACTCGTACCCGGGACCTCTTACATGTCTTACTTAGTTCCGAGTCGAGCACTCTGACACTACGCCACACGACCTTACAGACATTTATATAATTTATCGTCAAATGAAGAAACGTAACAGGCAGGTCACATCAGGTCGTGGTTCTACATCGTTTGCCACTAAAAACTGGCTTTTCTGACCCTCGTCTCATGTCAGGGTCTCCAATCAGAATCAGGATAAACAAAGTATGATGAGGTAGCGAGACAGCCAATCCGCGGGTCTGGGGGTCTGCAGGAGTGCTGAGTAACTAATGAGTAAATATCTGTCAACAAAAATGCGATAAGAAGCGCACCTTGTAACACACGTAGCCCTCAGACCACTCTTTCTCTCACGACGCCATCGTAGGAACAGGTCAACATGAAGGTAAGCTACACTTTCTAGTATAAAGTAGTTGTCTTGCAATTGTATTTGTGAGGTCTCAAACACAGCTGTTTGGGTTTTGCCGACAACGCTATCCTTATGGCGGATGTGTTACTTTTTTTCTAATTCCAACGTTTCATGACTAGACATGGTGACAGCACGCTCAAGTTATATAGACTTATTTCATGCCACCACCAACGCAGCTGGGCAAATTCAGGACAATACTCATTTTCTCTGCATTAAGTGAGTTAAGTGAGGGAAGTGTGTAAAGTGCCTTTCCCAAAGGCACAAGATCGGTGGTATGTCAGGACTCGAACCCGCGACCTGTTGACATGTGTTGATTTTGCTGCCGTTCCAGTCCGTCGCCGTGGTTCTTGCCGTTTTCCTGGCGTACCAGTGCCTGGCCGTCCGCCACCCGGGCCCACTGGTTCAGCCCGGAGGCCTGTCCCTGAGTCGGACCCTCAGTAAGCCCAGCAAAGTCGGTGCCATGGACTTGTGCAGCTTCTGCGTGGATTTCGCTCATAACGCCATCCAGACTATTGGAGAAGCCATTCTCGGTGAGTACGCCCTCATGATCACCATTGTGCTTCGTGATGGGAAGGAGTGACAATACTCTGGGACGATGCGTGACACACCAGCTCCGCAGGCACGCGGCGCGGCGGCAGCTAGCTAGCTTTCAAGTGATGATGATTAAGCTTTTGAAGAGGCCACGTGCATAGTGGAAAATTGGAGAAGCAGGGGTACAAAAGGGCTGCTACTTATGAATTTTATTTATTTTTTTTATTTCTTATTTTTTAATTCCATTGTAACAGTACAATACACTGGCCACCCAGGCAGCATAGCTGATTTCGGGTGCCAAACAATACAAAGATTAAACATACACAATATAACATACTAATACAGTAAACTAACAAGTAAAGATTAAGCTCAATTAACAATATAAGAGTACAACAGACTTAAGTACAAAGCATACTAAAGTATTCAATCAAGATAATAATAGTAATAGTGCTTATAAATTATCTTTTGTTTTTTCCTGTACAGAGGGTGGTTTGACGAAAGGATGCCAAGGGCTGTGTGCGATCGTGGGCAACAAAACAGACAGTAAGGCGGTGGAGCTGGCCTGTGACACTCTGTGTGTCGCCGTGGGGTTCGACGAGTTCGTTCACGCATTCCAAAAGTAAACGCTTTCATCCTGTTGAAAAAAAATCTTTGCTATTTTCCTGATTATTGTGATTTAAGTGTGGCGTAACGGCAGAGCGTTCGGCTCGGACCCAAGAGGTCCCGGGTTCGAACCCTGCCATGTCAAAAATCTTGTGCTCTTGGGAAAGGTACCTTACACGACTTTGCCTGGCGAACCCCATCTCTTTTAGTATCAGATGTCATACTTTGTACCCTGTACAATTGTTGTGAAATTAAGTTATTATTATTATAACGTAATGGTAAAATATGAATGGTGTCTAACCAACATGACGTAGGCAGTTAAGAACTAATCATTCCACGACATTTGTATGTTCATCGTATGTCTGTACAACTCACAGGGCCGACGTGGACCCGATCTACTACTGCGAGCTACTGAACCAGTGCCCGATTGTCGACAACGGCGATGCGACCACCACCCTTTTTGACGTCAATCCAAAGTCAGGACCACAAGGTAATCATTGTGGGGTCGTGTGGCGTAACAGCAGAGTGCTCGACTCGGAACCGAGAGGTCCCGGGTTCGAGTCCTGCGCATGCCACCGATCTTGTGCCCTTGGGAAAGGCTCAAAAGGCACTTCACACGATTTTCCTCACTTCGCTCAGGTGAAAAAGAATTAGTATTGTACATGTATTGTCCCCTGTGTTGGTGGCGGCATTAATATAAGTTGAAAAAAATTGAGTGACGTCTTGTGATTACATGTTGGAATAAAAAAGGTAACCAAACCGTTAAAAATGTCCAGCCTTCCACATTTACCCCATCAAAAGCTGCCTTCTCGAAACGTTCTGTTCACGATTTGCCATCAGCATTCAGTATATAACAGTTATGCCACGCAACACCGTGATTCTTACTCAAACCTTTATACTTAATACCCAACGATTTATAGTTGATGATTTATATTGCCGTTAGTCTTGTATAAACGAACGCTCATTTGTTGTTTTGTCATCTTCATACTTGTAATTTGTATTATATGTCAGGGGTGTGATTAATATTAGCTTCGGCTAGAGTTTCCACCTCTATGTCTTGTACCATGTCTTGTACTTTGTTGTTTCAATAAATAAATAAAAAACACCGTTACATCAATCCCAGTAGTAGGAGAGCATTATTTGCCTAGGAAAGTCATGAAGGATCAGCAAATTGGTCTTTGTATACTGGCGACAGAAGCATTCTTTTCGATTATGTGTTAAGCCGATATTCCAATTTTAAGTATTTGAATAGTATAGAGAAATTCCTTACAGCCTTCGATAAACCAGATTTAACTGATCATACAGCCAACTACATTTATGCGATGACCAAGAATCGAGATGAAGTTGAAAGTACTTGTGTACTCTAGACATTTATATTTACATGTGTATACTTTGTTAACATGTGACCTGTGCTTAGCTCAGTGGGGCAAAAATGTAAAATAAAGGTCTTCATTAATTAATCATTACTGTTTCAATACATATATATATGATTGTCTGGTTACTTTCATGCACTCTTTCTTGTCCTCCATATCAGGGGACTTTATCTTCGACGTTGAGTACGAGACGAAGAACGGCACGGGGACAGGGGAACTGCTGCTACTCATCGACACTGTAGATCAATGGCCCGTAGGTAAGATATGGGGATTTTTTTCTATAATTACAGCACGAAAACAGATATTTAAGCAAACTTTCCGCAATATGAGATATAAGACTAATATAAGACTAAGACTAAAAAAATTTTTTTACGGCTCTCAGTGGCCAATATGAGATGTTGTCACATCGGCGCACCAAATCCGTAAGGTGTTTTTGGCACCCTGACAGACAGATTAGCCTAAGAGGCTCGGTGGGCGTCACTCCACCGTATAGGTGGGGAAGTCGTGTAAAGTGCCACCGACTAAGCCTAAGACTAAATGCTTGTTCCACACCTCAGGTGGGTCCTTCCTGAACGAGCCGCAGGCCCCGGGGAAGTACGGAATGAAGATGACGCTGCACGCGGTGCCGAACGGCGGGGAATCTTTCATGCCGGGCGACTATAACGCCACTCTGCGTAAGTCATGTTGGAAAATCGGAATAAAACGAAGGGATAGACAAATGAAAACGTTGAATGAATATTTAGGGTATACCAAAACATAACGTAACATATCATAACATTTTATAAAACTGAATCTGAAATAAAATAACACGACATGAAATAAAACTAGAAAGGTAACATTTGCAAAGCAAATGCATAATGTTTACTTTCGCATATGGTCTTTTCTGTTAGTTCTTACTCAAACCATGCAGGCTCAAACACATTCATATATATGGTGACAGCAGTCTAAATCCCTCCTACTATAAAATTGCAACATGATGCAACCCAACACCAGTTAGCTTGGTGTGAGACGGTCTGGTTCAGGTCATTAACTAGGCCAGAGGTCAGTGTTTGGAGAAGAATAGGAAGAAGAAACAGAGCAAAAACAATATGTTTTCCTTCGGTAAACATAACAACATATAAAGGAGAGGAGAAATTGCCTACTGTTATTAACATGCTAGTAAATAATATTCTAAGGAGAATCTTGTCTCTCTGTTTCAGAAATCTGCAATGGTCAGTGTATGAGCAAACATCCCCACAGTAAGATCTACGACACGAAGAAAACCAACTTCACCATCACTCCATCTGACTAGTCGTGCAGCCGCGACAAACGGATGAACAACGCTAATTCCAAGTTACATGTATTCCTACTCTCCAAGCAGAGCTTTGGGTTTTGGCTGAAAACGTTTTTTTTGTTGTTGTTTGTTTTGGGTAAAACAAATTCCAGTGCAAGAAAAGAAACCCCGATAAAAAAGCCTAAAAACACGCCAAAAACAATCCAAACTCCAAACCTCTGCTTGGAGAGTAAGTTATTCCCCCCTTGCTTCGTACTTGCCTGGTGACAGTACGATTTCCAAAGTTAGGAGATATACTTGGCTCCCTGGCGTGTTGCTTTTGACCGAGCGTTTAGGTGCATTGTCGTTTGACGTATTGGAAAGACCACCTTTGACTTGAATGGAACGACAACAAACTTGACTTCGTCATCTGATCTTGTCTTATTTGCTCTGGTTCGTCTGTCTATCTGTCTGTCTGTCTGTCTTGTCCCTTGACCTCCTGGTCGTTGGGGGGAAGGGGGGGGCAAGGATGGACAGCTGTCTGTCATGCACTGTTAATTTTCCTGTGTCTGTAATCGCGTATTTATAGATAGTCATGGCAAAACGAACCACTGTTCTGTCTTTGAATATAAACAAATAAAGATGCGAAAACTTGATTGTCTCCTGCTTGTCTTTTTAAAAAGGTGCACAACTGTTATAATTATTATAACTTTCCCCAAAACCTAACATTGTTAAACCCCTACGCCTGGAACAGTTCATAACAAATCACATACAAACAATAATTGTAAGGGTAAATGGTGTTCTATGCAAGGGGTGAAGGGCCAATATGTGCCACCCAATCAATTTTTCCCTGCAGTCTTCATTGTCTGTTATGCATTATATAATCAAGTAAAGCTACATGCAGGTCACATTGGGTTGTAGTTCTAGATTGTTAACCACGAAAAAATTGTTTTTCTGACCCTTGTCTGATGTCAGGGTCTCCAATCAGGATCAATAAACAAAGTAGGAGGATAAGGTAGCGAGACAGCCAATCCGCGGCGCTTGGTGTAGGAGTACTGAGTAACTAATGAGTAAATATCTGTCAACAAAAAACGCGATAAAAAGCGCACCTTGTAACGCACGTAGCCCTCAGACCACTCTTTTTCTCACGACGCCATCGTAGGAACAGGTCAACATGAAGGTAAGCTGCGCTTGTAAAGTATGTGTCTTGAGTGTTCATCCAGATAGACCAGTTCAAAGACGCAAATGTACGATAGCTTAAGTATAGTACCTTAAAAGGTATAGTTTCAGGATTTTTTTTTGTACACGATTCCCTTAAAAGGAAAAATCTCAGACCCTCGGTAAAATGAGGTAGTGGGCATACATCTCATGAGCATACATGTTTTGCGCTGTACACGCTCGTATTCAAAAAGCAGTTACATGAAATTGAAGGTATATCACGTTATGCCGTTTTCTTTTCGCTCAACTGGGGGCATGGCGTTTGAAAAGGAAGGGTCAGCCTAGAAAGTATGGATTGTAAATTTCCATATACTAAGTCAGCACACCCTTGGGGGGGGGGGGGGTCTGATTGGACTTTTACCTGGGCAAGGGCACCAGGTGGCGAACTCGTGACTGGAGTCATGTGATCTGTACATCGACCTGTGCTGATCTCCAAGCAGATGTTGGGGGTGTCAAATCGTTCATCTTGACGTTTTCTACCTATTCTATTTTCACAGACACACAGATACACAGACACACATAGTAATAAGAAAGCAATTGACAAACTTTAACCGTTTCTAAAAAAAGCTACCACATATATAAATGTCATACACATGTGAATTGCGATAGTTTATTGCACAACAATTGTGACAGGTACAATGTTTGGCAGATAATAAGATTACTGGCTGGTAGCGATCTATCAAAATTATACATAGTGGAGTCTAAGTGGACGATATTATTTGCTTGGCACAAAATAATGTATTATGATGTATATGAGGGATTCATATATCGCCTGTCTTGTTCATTGAGGTTTTGTACGCAAACTCTTTCAATTCAGGGAGTCCGAGGCTAATCCCTGCTGTAGGGTTTGCTTTTTGGTGTCATGAATAAAGATCATAAGTATATCATGTGCTTTTCTCCACAACTCCAGTCCGTTGCCGTGGTTCTTGCCGTTCTGCTGACATCCCCCCTATTTGGCTAAATTTTACTGAACCCGAGGTGTTAGTCTGGTGGAGACTAAAGCTGTACAGATACTTGTATGTAGTAACACTTGCAACACGATTGACAGTCGACGATGTGCATTTTTCCTCCATCCCAGTCCGTCGCCGTGGTTCTTGCCGTTCTGCTGGCATCCCAGTGCCTGGCCGTCCGCCCGCCTCCCCGCTCCCAGCGGCCGCTGACCTGGCCTGGCGGCCTGTCTCTGAGCCAGGACTTCAAGCCCAGCAAGGTGGACCTGGATCTCTGCAAGTTCTGCATAGACTTCAGTCAGCAGGCCATCCAGCAGCTGCTGAACATTATCCTGCGTGAGTACTTCGAAAAAAAAGTTAATGGCTAGATACAGCAAAGCGTTCAAGTTTAAAACGACTTTTGAATGTACTATAACGGTGGTATATTGTTGTTTTTTTTTTTAAATCCATTCTTTTTGTATTGTGATGCAGCCTTGAATTCTTTTTCTACAATCTCTACTCAAGCAGGAATAGAAAATTTAAAATCAATAGAAGGGCAAGGGAGGTGCATTGAGTCTGGCAAAACGCATAGTTAATACAAAGTTAGCTCACGAGATGGCACAATTCCGACACGCATGATATAAGAAGATGTACACTTTCATCGTAATATTCTAATAAACTGTAAATGTGTCTACATGTGCATCACTAGCTTATGATATACGTACAAATATGTATGAATGCCAGAAAGCCGATTCCATTTTCCGGCTTATCATACTTTTATTTGTGGTGGGTCAATATAGACTAAACTAACTGTTGCCTACACATACAGAGGTGGGAGTTGTTGGGACCTGTGGGGAACTGTGCCAGGCCCTGGCAGACAAGACCGGCAGCCAGGCGCTGGGCGTGGCCTGCAACCTGCTGTGTGACATCGAGGGCGTGCAGGAATTCATCAAACTGATTGAAAAGTAAAAATCACAGATTTATAAAAAAAAAAAATTCCAAGCAGATCCTATGGTCGCAAGTCAGTATCCGCAGGGGTGCCAGAGTATACAGTGCAATTTTACGGAATGCAGTGCAATTTTACGGAATACAGTACAATCTTAGCCAGGCCGGTATCATCCTATTTGCATACCATGGGGCTCCCATAACCGCTACAACTAAGAACATCATTAATAGTATGTTGAGAGCGAGTATGGGGGTCCCGGTATACAATTGGATACTGCCTTGCCACCATAGGATCTGCTTGGAGACTATTGATTTCTATTTCCCTAACCTGCGTCCGTAACGACTCTTTACTGTGTATTCTTCAGTACCAGGTCTATTACCTGCAATATCAAAACATGATAGGCAGCGAACTTCTGTAAAAAAGAAAGACTGACACTTCTGTTTTCCTCCTGTAGGGCTGATTTGGACCCGATCTACTACTGTGAGCTGCTGAAGCAGTGCACCATCAAGGACGACGGCGACGCCAAAATCACCACTCTCAGCGTCAACCCCAAGTCTGGGCCACAGGGTAATCAAATCTATACGCCAAAAAACAGTTACTCAAGCAACTGGATATGATTTTGAAAACGTCAGACGTTTCAGCTAGTATCCACTAGCTTTCGTCAGTGACTGAGAGACCAGAGGGGAAAGCAGGTTTATAAGCACAACCTATTGATTGATATGCAAATAAAGTGAATACAAATTTTTGGAAGTCGAAAAAGGAACAAAAGTCAGACAAGTCAAGACAAGATGATGCAAATTAGTCTTCACTTTATTTGCATATCAATCAATATGCTTATAAACCCGCTTTCCCCTCTAGTTTCTCAGTCACTGACGAAAGCTAGTGGATACTAGCTGAAACGTCTGACGTTTTCAAAATCATATCCAGTTGCTTGAGTAACTGTTTTTTGGCGTATCGTATTACCTGGATGTCTAACCTTCATCGACGTAATCAAATCTATATTTATAGCAATGTTATACATGTGCATAATACTGGCCATACACATCATTAGTTGCCATTACCACACCTTGCACCAGGATATAATACTGCATCCTTTGCATGTATGTAGCCTAGTGCATGGCATGTAGCACGAGCAACAATTCCAGTAACGTAACGTTAGGATTTATCCCTGTGATGCAGCCTTGAAGTCCTTGAAGTACCGTTTCTGCCAATGCAACGGGGAAAGAAAGATTTAGACTATGATCAGTGAGGAATATGAGTGTAACAGTGAAAAGATGGTGTACATAGCTTGACGATTATATATTCTGATCATTCTGCTGATCATTCTGCTGATCATTCAACCGTGTTATCACTACTATCTCAGCTACATGTACCTGTAATTGTCTGGTTGCATCCAGACGCAGTAACCATGTACATCACGGCCTGCATGTTCTGAATCATTAGGAACTTTCATCATCGATGTGGAGTACGTGTCCAAGAACGGCACCGGCACAGGCGAAATGGTCATAGACATCGACACTGTGGACGGCATCCCACTGGGTAAGAACACACGAAATGATTATATGTTTACCTGTGCATGAGGATACAAGATACAAGGAGAGTATATAATTTTTGGTCTGGTGCTTCTTCTCCAAACATATAACGTCAATGATCTGGACCAGGCGTCAGTCACCATGGTAACTGGAGCTGTAGCAGATACCCTGTGGTGTTGCGTTTATACATTAAATTATATAACGGGACGGGCACAGGTATGGTGATGGATATGGACACTGTGGACGGCATTCCACTGGGTAAGAACACACGAAATAACGTACTGCGAAAGTCATGTGAGCCTTTCTTGTGATCTATGATACATCAGCAACGGGTTTGTTTTGACCTGATAAACACACATCAGCAAATGACTCATCAACAGACGGAGGTAGCCGCCACCAGGCTTCAGAGGTAGCAAGAAATGGTAGAAATTGGCCAAATACTCATACTAGATAACAATCCATGTAGGTTTAATAAAAGGGTATTTGGACAATTTCTACTCTTTCCAGCCGCCTCTGAAGCCTGGTAGAGTCTGAGGCAAACGCACCGTGTGCCTCTCTTGTTGCTTGGGCATTAATTCTTGTCCATACTTATCTAAATCTCCAGGCCAGGGCTTCGTTCTTGAGGCGCAGGAGGCAGGCACGTACGGACAGAAGATCTCTCTGAGGGCGGAGCCGAACCCGGATTGTGACCCCACACAGGGACCGTGTGAGAGTTTCCAGCCGGGAAACTACGGAGTCAGAATCGGTGAGTTATGGTCTAACATCTTTGTTGTCCAAAGATTATACTATTACACCAAGGAATGGTAAAGAAAAACTAAAGAGCAAACGGCTACCAAAATTATGGACAGCTTTTCGTCGATTGTACTCGTACACTACTACTAAAGTAACCTAGCCTGGGTGCCATCCTATTGTGTTGACAGCCACACCCAGAGTATGGCGATTCTACATTGTAGTCAATCAGTCCTTTTGTTAGCGAGCTTTTCTGGCTTTTCTCCTTGCCTCCGCAGCAGATATTCTTTCATTTTCAAAAGTATTTCCATCCTATTATCCCCATACTCACTCCTTAAAATATCTTAGGGAGCAAGTATGAGAGCCTTGGTGCCATACCCAGGCTACCACTGACCGTGAAATAAGATCTATGAAATATGCAGAAGTGGGGTCGTGTGGCGTAGGGGCAGAGTGCTCGACTCGGAACCAAGAGGTCCCGGGTTTGAGACATGCCACCGATCTTGTGCCCTTGGGAAAGGCACTTTACACGACTTTCCTCACTTCGCTCAGGTGAAAATGAGTATTGTATTGTCCCCTGTGTTAATGGCGGCATTAATATAAGTTGAAAAACTTGAGTGTGCCGTCACCACGTCTTGTGATTACATGTTGGAATATAAAAAAAGATACGCAGAAACTATCTTTAGTCTACAGTTACAACATTTCTTATTTATCTCTCCGACAGCCCTCTGCAATGGCGAGTGCGGCAGTAAGCACCCCCACAGTCAGATCTACGACCAGGGCATGACGAACTTCACCATCACCGGTTAGAGAAGCCGCGCCATAGCTACAGGAGACTCTGACTAGCGCATCAACCTTCGCAAACAACCACGTTCTCATTCTAGCTCTTACCTTCCACTTCCGCTTTATAACATAACTGTTATAAAGCGTTCCCTCCGTGTATAAGCCCTTGTACATTCAAGTCGATATTGCCATAATTGTTTTACCGAAAGTTAATTATGCTAAAAGCTATATCGTACATACCATCCTCATGTATGAATGTGGTGACAGTAGCTTTTGGTTGAACAGTGTCTTAAAACAAAGCGCTACTAGTTCTAATGTGCGCTTTTCACAGCAATGCAATGCATTCCTTTTTACTAATAACGTAATAAAATATTAACTTCAACTTTCCTTCGTTCGTGTCTCTGTTTCCATGCAAATTGATATAATAGTAATTTTTGAAGACATTAATGATTTAACCCTGGGAAACTGGAAAACGTCCATTTAGCCCTAGACCAGACTGTTGATGTCACTTCAGATTCTGTCAACATTCAAAACATACCACATATGATCTGATCATGATCATGCATAATGTCCCTTAACTGCTATCAAAACTTGAAAACCAAAGGAATGGTTATTCAGTATGTTATTCATGAAATGAAGTTTAAAATGTCCGCCCTGTTCCATTTCCTACCACTCAAACTCAAACCGGCGCCAAAATTAACGTTACAGGTAGCCATGCTTGCTCTTCACAACCACAATTTTTCTCGAAAGTTCCAAAAGAAGCTCCTCATTATGCACGCACGTCATAACAAACACGTACTACTGGTATTGCTATTGGTTCAACTTCTACTAGTCTTTGGGAGCGGTTGTAAATGGTAGAACTTTAATACGTCAACGGTGACTGGCCAATACTGACGGACAGATAACATGCCAGGGGTGTTGGTCCGCGCCAGTAAGGAGTAACATTTGCTCCTTAGTGAAAAAATCCCCTGGTGTGTTGTATGTCTCTTTAGCGAATTTCTACAGTTAGCAGTCGCTTCTGAAGCCTCAATAGCCTCTATCAGGCTTCAGAAGCGGCTGTTATTGTAGAAATTTGTCAAAGAAATCCAAATTCGACTTCCTCTGTACTCCGCCAGGTGGCGCTGTCCGACGGAACACCGAGAGTTTATATTACGACGAATTGCCATTTTGCGGCAAAGGAAACCACGTTTTCGGTGGTGGGGTGGTTTTGCTTCGTAGCTGGTCAAGATATCACTAAATTAGCGATATTCCACCTGTAAAAACTCCTCAACATGGAGGTACAACTCGAAAGAGAAGGTCAGGACTCTACAGGAGAGAACAGGGACCAGGAGACGGACAGAAAAGCGCACGATCGGCCGTCGAATCGCGGCGGTAGCGTCGGTGGCGTGCCCGCACAGACCTACGAGGCGGTGGACGGGTCCACGGTAGTCATTCCTCGGGGGAAGCCAAAGTCCGGCAAATTTTGGAAAACTGTGCGATCAGAAAGGTACATTCATATCCATTCGTGCTGCTCCATTCGTAGCATAACACGACTTTTCATTTACAGTTAGGTGGCCGAGCTAAGGAAGAAGAAGTGAGTTGGCTGCTTCATGGGGGAGGGGGGCCAATTTAAGAGCCTGGTCTTCTATCGTGTGTGAACAGTACTCTCATCTGCCGAATAAACATACCCCCCGGAATAAACGTACCCCCCGGACAAATCTTCAAAATCAAATAAACATACCTCCGGAATAAACGTACCCCCCGGAAAATTACCAAAATTGACGGGTAACCTGTGTCTCTTGTACTAAAATGCGCCCTTACTGATATATGCACAAATCTTTTACTGTTATTTGCAATTAGGAATCTAAATAGACAAAAAAAAACAGCATTTAATATTTCGTATTTTGATAAGCACCACCCATGACAATAGAACATTCAGACAAATTTATGCACACGGTGATCGCGAAAACCGGCCCGAAAATGACAAGTTTCTCGCTACAATACGCGTTTATAAACGTCTTCACGACGATGATTTGTCGATTTTTTTCAGACGAAGTCGAAAAAAATTACTGGTTTTCAAAAAATTAATAAACGTACTGTGCAAAATAAGAACGTACTGGGTGGATGTTCGGGCCAAAAAAAATAAACGTACCCGTACATTTATTCGGCAGATGAGAGTAGTGTCTATTCAACGACCTACATGCATAACAACAGTGGACTAACTATACCAGGTGCCAAATCCTCACGTAAGAACATTACATTGAAAGAAGTGCTTTACCCCCCATCCAACAAGAAAATGGGGGTGGGGGTGGGTAATCTCCAAGCAGATCTTTCGGTGGCAAGACAGTATCCATTGGCCAGAGGAGTGTCCATTAGCCACCGAAGATCTGCCTGCAGTCGAAACGTCAAAGGCTATTAACACCTACATGTAGTTGTTGCCTGATCAAAATATTCTTGCCAAGTAGTTTATTGCCCTGACCACCAGGCAAGGCTCTTGCCCTCCTAGTGAGCCAGCTGGTTGAGCATTACAGGAAGTCTCTCTATGGGTCCCCTCACCAACTGTTATTTTGGACAGTTTAACTATAGGAAAAGAATATTCAACACATGTTTTGTGATATCTGCAGTTTTTAACCACAAGGACCCCAGTTATTGACATTTCTATGTTTCAGCCAGCATATTTTAGTACCAGCATACAGTATTATCTGGACAGGGTTAGGTGAGAACTCCCACTGAGATGTACGCGGGTGACTGCATTTGTCCCAGATTCAAGCTATAAACCGCTTGTAAAAATCTTAGCACAACAAAGTTTTGATAGCTGTTAATAGGGGCACAAGGAGGGGCAGCAACACCATTTTTGAAAAGAAGTGCTCCTCCCTGTTCGAGTACCGGCAGATCTTCGGTGGCTAATGGACACTCCTCTGGCCAATGGATACTGTCTTGCCACCGAAAGATCTGCTTGGAGATTAGGGGTGGGGGCTAAATGTTCATATGTACAGTATAACTATAACCAATATTATAACCTTACTTAGATGTAGTTACATATAACAGCCTTATGTATGGTCAGTAACACTAGAAATACGTCTTCAAAGATTTGCTATGTCTACAGACTCTAACATAAGATTTCTTTGCTTCATGAACAAGACATTCAAACATCAAGAAAGACAAGCCTCTGAGAACCACCTGGAACAAGAAAATGCAGCAAAGAGCAGAAAGACAGTCCATCAAGTCATTTGAGAAAGAACTGAAGGAGTTGAAACGACAACAACAGGAGGTGAGTGAACATGTTTTCGTCATGAACATTGTGCATAATTTCTGCCAACTGCCCATCTAGTAACTAGCCTGGGTACTATCCTGGTTACTTAACATCTGCTCCCACAGTCACTACTGATCGACTGCTTTGGAAATGGATGTAAACTAAACAGGATGGTACCCAGGCTATCTAATAACATGGTTTGCCTTACATAGCAACATTCCACAGCCAAGGGATGCCTTGGTTTTACCTATGTCTTGAAATAAAGTAAAATGTGCCATTATCATTCTATTCTTCACTTGGCTACTGAACAAAGTAAGTTGGCAAGGTAAAGTGATCGGACTTGTTAGAAAATGGTGATTCCTTCCATGTACTTGATTATTATTGAGTTGATATTGTGTGGGTGCCTCATTGCCTTTTGTATATGCATACTTTCAGGAGAAGAGAAAGAGACAAGAAGAACACAAGAAACAGAAGCTTGAAAATGAGAGGAAATCAGAGATTGTACAGGTGGTAAGTAGAGACTGGCTAGCTTGTATACATCATCACACATGTGACTGATTATGTTACATTATTTTTGGTTTCTTCTCCAAACACATAAGGTCAATAAGCTGGACAACCAGCTGTCACCATGGTAACTTGTTCTGTAGCAGACACCATGTGTTCACCATATACTAGTATATGAATGTATTCAAGTAAGAATTAACAGAGTAGTAGTTTGTTGGGCTAGACCAAGGAGGTTAACCTGCTTGGCTAAACCATGTGAAGGTAAACATTATGTATTTTCTTTGTAAATGTTACCTTTATACAGCTGTCTTTATAGTTGTCAAATTAAGTCTCCTTATTGTATGTTACCCTTCTTTGTCCTACGCATAAATAATCAAAGTGTTTTCTCTCTTTGTACTACGAACAGATTAAAAACACAGCAAAGATCAAGAGGATGAAGAAGAAGCAGTTGAGGCAGATACAGAAACGGGACACTGGCAACACGGGGAGGATTGTTAATGAAGTGAAATAAAACATTGTGATTTGATTGTCTGAGCCATTGTTTATACATGTACATGAAATACACAAATCATTCTACTGGTGGCTTTTCACTGAGGTGATGAGGTCATCATTATACAAAAAATACCAAGATTCAGGTTACATGACTATTAAATCCAGTAAAATAAGTCTGGTTTTTCAAAAACCATCTATCAAAGAGTTCGGGCACAGTACAGTATGTTAAATATTGGCAAATAAACTATACTTAAAAAAAAACTATCCAAGCGTCTGTATGTAAACCAAAGTGTCTAATACTTCCCCAGACTCAATTATCTGCATCAACATTTCTTTTAAATAGTTACAATACGCAATGCATGGTTATTACGAGACCAGAATAGTCCGGACAACACAGCTTACATAAACTCTGATTGATGATAAGGACGATTGCAGCGCGGCAGAAGTCCCGGTGGTTCTGCAGGAGCTACGCGCCACCGTCACATATCTCATAACCCCCATTCTTTGGCTACCGGAATTCACTAATGCGTAATGCGATTCACACAATTAACGTGAAGGTACGTGACGAGAATCAACGGTTGTTACCGGTACTAAACACTGACATTGTGAGACATGTATACCGTATACTTTCATCTCAAGCAGTACCTAAACGGAGGATTCCTATAAAGCAACCGAAGTGTCTCATTATTTCTCAAATAAACGGGGTTGGATGTTTGGAGCGCCTGGCGAGATGGGTGAGCATTCAGTTGTCGAATGGCACTTCGGGGGGCGCCTACAGATGAGTTATGCCCGAGGAAGACCGGGTGATTGAAAATAACTGATTACAGCGCGCTTAGATCATTCCATTTTCCATAGATCACCTCTGGTGAGTGCACAATGTCTGTGGCTACGTCCAGACTAGGACCGGTAACTAGGGTTGCGTGCTTGACACTGCGTTTGGATAATGCAAGGAGGTACTTTTTCTAACCTCAATAGATCTAGATACTGACAATACAGAAGATAAAACTAGAAATGAGATCGGTCAATTGTCCTGAGTCCATGCCCAGCTCTAAGACTACGAAGATGTCAGGTTTGATTTTGATCAACAAAACTGGCAGTGCAGGACAGAGTGAAGTGCTATTTATCTTTGCGCGTGCTTGACGATTCTATCAAGAAACTCAAGAGGATGTCTGACAGGTGGACTTACTCCACTCAGTCGCCTTTTCTGTTTACACCCTACAACCTCTATATACAATTTCTATAAACTAAGAAACACCGTAAAATTCCTGATCCGGCCGCGGCATGAGTATAACCTTTACATTAGCGTTACCGCGTTACAGATACCGCAGGGACGGCTGTCTGCCGCCCGAGATCGGCCGATGCGATGCAGACTCAAATTTGATTTCCTGATAACGGGAGTGAACTGGGCCGCTTGCTGTCACCGTGCGGCGTTCGGCAAGACGAAGATTGCTCTCTGCAGCTGGTGAAGTATTTGTCCGAGAGGTACTATAGCTAGCATTTGGCTGTAGCAAACCTTCACGTTCTGCAAGCCTAGGGGACTAAAATTCTGCTCGGAACATTCACAAGAAGGTATAGAGCACGCCTTTCAGTGTGAGCAGGAATTCCTGCGCTGAAGCAACAGCCTGTTCCGTAGCCGTCAACGCCATGGGCAGGGCCCAAACAGAGTAATGGGATCCACGAACCGGACCGTGAGCGCGCTGAACGGTGACTTTAGAGGGAAGTCCAAGCTGAAATCCTTTGATGTCGGCGTCAACACGGAGGAGAGCTCCATTACTGTAATAGTAAGTCAATGTTTTGTCAATACTAGTTATTCGTTTTTATTTATCCATCTGCAAAACAAATAGTTTTTCAAGTGGATGCCTTTCCAAACAAAGATGATTTGTCGAAAATAGACCAGTGACCTGATCTGATGACCCCATAATTACAAAGCACCCTGAACATAGAGCACTGTACATGTACTATATATTGCAATATATTACACAGCAATGTTGGCAATGTCTAAAATGATCATCTAAAGAGGAAACAATACCACTTGTATATTAGATCTGTCAGCATCCTCTCGGGGTTACGCTGTAGCATGTGAAAACACGGGCCGGGCGCGCTTTAATTGCAACCTTTTATGGGCAGTTGTCTGGTTTGATGGACATCATCGGGTAATTCCTTGATTTATTTCTGATACGGACGGACAGAATATCCTGGCGACCCGACCCATTAAAGATGTGAACCTGTTCTCCCTGAAGAAGACCGTTGCGCTGGCCCTGTTTGACATCACCGTGCTGGCCGCCAACACGGCACAGGTCAGTTCCTAATTAAACGTTTGCTGTAACCTCTTGTGCAGACGATAACCTCTTTGATCAAATTTGTAGCACCGTTTGCTCGGGCCTCTGGATATCTACCACGTCTATCTCAGCATCCAAGATCGAATACTCTGTTCAATTTCGTTACGTCGCGTCAATTCCTAAGTAAAAGGCTACAGGTGGGGTATCATCACCAGATAGCTTTCATCTAACAATGTTTACAGTTAGATGTACAATTTACTGCAAAGATTAGGTGTAACATGTCGTTCGGTGTAATATATAGCCAGCTGCCGCTGCGCCGCGTGCCTGCGAAGCTGGTGTGTTACGCCGATTTAAGGGCGGTTATACCGGCTATAATACAGATACAGAGTAGTACCGTATAATATAGGTAACATTTAAATCCAATTGCAAGCTGCACGTAACGACGCAAAAGTTTATCGCTGGTTTTGCTTGCCGTGCTACCGTCTAAAACCTGATCTTTGTATCATCTTAGTGGTTTTATGATGATATCCATGTTTGTTAATACTGATCTTAGCTGATATACTCAATATAGGGATACGTTTTTATGCTACGCTTTACCGAAAATGATGCAGATATATGTAAGATTTTATGCTAACTTTATCTAATTGTAATACTGGGCTGTATGTTGTAAATACTCGACATATTTCATGCACTTCACTGTGACATGCCAGTCGATTCAATAAATCTGCTACAGGTGAAGTTCGTGCGGCACAACTACAATGAAGAGGACCTCGGGGTTTACAGGTTCACCATGGTGATGTTGGGACTGTCCATCATCCTCCTGGTGGCCACGGCAGCCGTCCTGCTCTACATGGCCACCTTCAACATAGAGCGCGACAACGTGTACGAAACCATCGGGCGGAAAGCTCACATCACCAACGACATCATTGCCTCCCTGGTGTTGGTTATCACGATCGTCAACGTTCTGGTAGCTGTGTTTGGCTGTGAACCCAAGGCTTGGCCCTCGTAAAAACTAACGTTTATGGTTTGCTAATGTTGTCCATCGCCGTAGATGGTCCCTCTTCGGCCACGTACTCCGTATGCCGCTGGACTCACCCCCACAAAAGGTCCTCAGTGTCGCGTTCAGCAAAAAACTGAAACCCAGACTAGGAAGACCACGTGAAGGTCTCCTCAGTAGCCTCGTAAACTTTATCTCAACCATAACATCAGACTCGAGTCTCACGTACTGAAACATCTTAGAGACTTAGCAAGAGACAAACGCAGATGGATTGAACTGTACAGAGACATACACTGATTTGGCCTGTCAATTGTAGTTTGCTAATTGTAATCTGCTAATTTACAGCCAAGAACAGTTATTTATTATTATTATAATGTTGTTCCGTTATATGACGGTTTTACTATTTTCATCTTGAGATTGATTTCCCCAAATTTATACAAATTTCAAGACAAACATCTTAGATACCAACACAGTTAAAGAAGTGGCCAGGGGTTATCAGCTTATTCTGAAGAACTTCTGTCACTCTCCAGAACGAACAGATGTAAACAAACCAATGGAGACGTTTGGTACGTGAAAGGTATGTAAACATCATCAACAGTTGCAAAATGAGCAAAAATAAACCGTAAGTTACAAAAAAAACCATACCAATGTCGTAGAATGCCAAAATCAAACGAAAAAAGACGAAATTGTAAAGAAATGAACTTGAAGACTAGATTATTCGCCAAACCATATTCCGTTCCATTTGTTCAACCCTCATGACCACGTAGATTTCATAATGAAACCACCTTTTTTTTTCAAAACTTTTTTTTTATTCGCACGCGCGCATCAATTTTGGGGTTCCCGGAGGATGTCATCCATATAATCAAATCAAAATGGCCTAATAGCAGGGCAGGCCAGTGGGACCAATGCCTCCTGGAACTAAATGTCTGCATGTAGACTATACTATTTCAAAACAAGTTTATCGTGATACAAACTAACATGATAGGATGAATTTGGTATAGGACAAACAGTCTAACAGAGAAAATTACCTGTTCTTTTAGGAATCAAAAATGAAATCCAAGGACAAAGAATGAGCCATCATGTCCTCATGGAGATTACATCACATTCAGAGTGTTTACCTACATTTTCGGGACCAATGCAACATCCAAATCGAATTAACATTGATTTCTCATTTATTTATTTATGTCATTCAAACTTTTGCAAGGAATAATTCAGTACCCCTCAAGCATGATCTAATCTATGATGGAAGGCTACAAATCCATTCAACAATGCAACTAATGGAATCCGCAAATCTCATTATGAAGATAATGTATCAAACATAGACAGTCTGGACAAATGATGGATGTCTTTTATTAATACCCGATAGGAGACGCAGATTGAACTGGCAGACTCCCTTCTTTACTGCCCACTGTAGGAGTGTGTGATCAACCTGTTGTATAATATATAGAGCACTCTAGGAGTGTATCAACCTGCTGTATAATACATGAGCCACACCAGAGATCAGGGTGTGATTGGAGAACTCCAAGATGAGCTGAAGGACAGGGAACTGACTACTGTCAAACATCAGACAGTCGGCTCCTCCGCCAGACTCTCTGTTACCGGACGATGACGAAGCCATCCAGGTCAGAAATAACGTCTTCATCGCAGGAGGGAAGAGATCATCAATGATTTCCTCCGCCGGTGGAAGGTTGTCCACACACATGATGTGTCTCTTCTTAAAGTCCTCCACCTTTCCGACAATGTCTTTATTGCTCCGTTGAAACTGCTGTCCTAACCACTCACTGACTACTACCATTGACGTCTGCCTCATGTGGTCTTCGTCCTGCAGCTGGTCCTCTTTCAGCTGCCTAACATTCGTCACAAAATATCCTAAGAGATCCAGGGGTAGCCCCAGGCTTCTTGTGTCCTTAAGAATGGAAACAAGGCTTGTCAGCAACTCGATACATCTTCTCAAAAAGACATCCAGCTGCTGCTGCTCTGCTAAGTTGTCTAACGTCCTGATTACTTGGCACAAGACATCATCGGGATGTGAACTGCTGTAGTTGTGATCTGTGATAGAATCATCATTCCTACTCTCTGTGTCATTACTATCAGGCGAGTCATGTTCAACCTCATTAGCACCAATTTGCAGCTGCATGTGAGTGGTCTGCTCTAAGGCATCAGTCGGTACCTCTTTCTCATGACCTTTCAGTCCACAGGATTGTGTGGTATTTTGCTGAGAGGTTGGTGCCAGGGCAGTTTGTTTACAATCTGACTGAGGAACAACAGACATTGCTAAGGACTGTTTTCCAACAGAGGCAACTTGTTGACTTTTGTTTCTGCCTGCTGTTTGTCCATTTTCTTCAATTTCTGTGTCCTGCTTTATATTGTATGATTCTTGTAGTAGATCATCATCGAATCTCAGTCTCCATAGCTCCTGTATATAAAAATAAACTACATGTAATTATAAATACAATTAATAATGTCATGCTTGCAATATTGCCAAGTATTGTCTGTGCTCCAAGAGTTATACATTGTCTGGGTGCTATCTGATTTGCTACGGGCTCCTTTTTAGACCAGCATGTGAAAGGAGCCCATAGCAAATTGGATGGCACCCAGACTACTGTAGTATAAGCTACATAGGTTTTATCAACTCTAGGCCCAAACCTCTCCTATTAGATTTAGGAGTGATACCATTGCAGTGATCATTGATGTCTTTGATAAACAAAGATACAGATATGAATTTTACACTGGAATCATACTTGTTAGTACATGTTAGTACATGTAGTATCATGTCAGTGTATATTACAAATGTAGTTTCATGCCCCACCTGTAGAACAGTTAGACACTCCAGCTGGCTCTGTCTGTTGTGAAGCTCGAACACTGCCCTGAACACACCCTGGATGCTGTAGAACCACACACCTTTACAGGTGCCATGGATGCCTGCAAGCTTCACACCTGGAAAACAAATGAACGTCTTAAAACTAGCCTGCAACTTTTCTGATCCAGCATATAGTTGAAATTCTAGACCCATAACCCCTATTCTAATAATACCAGGGTTTTTGTGCCCTGTTTCCTCAGAACATTTCAACATTTTTTTTTCTAACAGTTATATCAGATGCCTGTAACTCATTATGACAAACATTTGTCACAAAATTAACCTCTTCTGAATAATTTGTAACCTCTGTAGATTTCATCAGGTTGCTGAATGATTGAACAGCAAAGTTCTTTATCAACAACCACTTGTTAACAAGAGCCAATATTGTAGAACACTATCTCAATCGACCGTTCTGGCATACAACATCATGTCCGTGGTACAATGTATGCCAGAGAAGTAACTGTCTACTGTATACTATATAGTGTGAATGCGAGGCTTGGCAGGCAGGGCCTCGTATAGCATACTTTTCGATTTCTGGTAAAGATACGAAAGACCAAATATCATAGACGCACACCGAAGTTAACGTTATATATGTTTGATATACTACTACTCGTCTCTGCATACCCTATTCGATACATTACTACATGCAATACCGACATGGATCGTGAGAAAGTCACAGGGCCCCACACCTTCGGTTCCGTGCTAAATGTCCGCTGTGCGCGATGGAAGTGCAGCATCCTGAGATCCTTGGCTGGAAGAGCCCACCCCTTCAGATGGATCAGTGTAGCTGTCTTCTGTGCTGCCATTCGCAAACCACAGACGGCGAAGTGGTAAAACATGAACTACGGGATGATTTTTCAGCCGATCGCCGCCATTTTGTATTGGGACGGTTCCATTGCAGTGAGGGGGAGTTCGATCTGTGAAATTTAGACCGTTGAATATTTACATTACATTTAAACATAACAGCAGTTGGTCTCGTACTGTACCAAGGCAAGTCGTGAATCATGTGTATGCATTTTCAAATGACAAACAAAAAAAGTAATAGAGCAAACATTTGTTTCATATTTTATTAACATAGAGAAAGTCACCCATATACATATAATAGAACCGTCTACCTTCAACATGGTACAGTGAGTAATGTCCTTGATGGTACAAAAATTGAATCTGTTTCCACGCATTCAAGCCACGCATTCAAGTACCAGAGTTATCAACCAAGGATTGAGGTGTTCAAGAATTCATTCTTTCCTAGAACTATCGCAGAGTGGAACTCACTGTCACCAAGTACAGTAGGGGCACTGTCAATAGATAGCTTTAAACAATGTCTAGAGCTAGAAGTTCAAGGGTTAGGTGTAACAAGTCGATCGGTGTAATATAGCCAGCTGCCGCCGCGCCGCGTGCCTGCGAAGCTGGTGTGTTACGCCGAAAGGTGGTTATACCGGCTATACAGATACAGATACAGATTTCCATGAGGACAGCCTAACTAACACGAGTCAGCCTGGCTAGGTCGAATAAAATTACTGATACTGTTTCCTTAAAATTATTGTTGATTTGTAGGGGCAAATTCCTATGAGATATAAAATACTTTTTGTCAGAGCAACACAATAAAGTTTTCTGTTCATTTACTATTACATGTAACGTTAACTATATTTCATGGTATTTAACGTTATGATCTATTTACCATCAGTAGCCTTACTAGAGCTGTGTACCTAAACAAATTTTAGGTACAGGTACAGGTACAGGTACACAGGTTTAGGTACAGGTCCGGACCTGAACCTGTACCTGAACAATTCGACCAATTTATATGCTCTTCTGAACTCCTTCAATAACAAAAAAAAACATAAATAAACTTGATAGTTAAGGTTTATTCTTTGTTTATGGCGAATGCTCAGATAAAATATAGGCTATATATATGTTTTTGTTTTCATGAACACACTGTCCTTACACAGGGACCCATTGTTAACCAGCTATTTACACATTTGAGGTCACAAATAGGCATAACATTGGTGTGAAATTGTTTAGGTACAGTACCGGTACTGAGGGATTAGGTATTTTGGACCTGTACCTAATCAATTTTACCGGTACAGTATCGGTACTGCGTACCGGTACACAGCTCTAAGCCTTACACATCTGGGCATTTATGTTTGCCTCTGCATTCATGGATCACAGTTGAAGCCTTTTATATTGGGTGTCAATCCAAGTGATATTCACAGAAGAAATGTTTGGATATGTCATCTGCTTTCACTTACAGTCACTGCAAGGTATATGTAGATAACCAAAGGTATCCCCTATGTACGGTCTTCATGTTGTCCCCTTGTTATGTTCTGCATGTTTTTCGTCCACACTGGCATCACTGTTCATATTAGTGTTCCACCAATCTTTGACCTTCCGCTTGAATATTCGAACCCTATTTGGATTGATATCTGTAAAAAGAGGGTACAAGTTTGCAGTTTAAAAGTCAAAATTGCAATAAGCTACAAACAGTTTATACTGGTCCTGTCATTATTCCTTCAATAATGTTATATTAGCAAAAATGTACGCAATTTTTATATTATATCCAGGGCCAATCGGTGGTAACGGTATCAAATATACATGGCTTTCTTCTATTCTGCCATCAGTTGTGTATAATATTGAAGACATTCAATTACCAACCTCTAACAACTGCACAACTGTGTAAAGAGTTCCACCGTGTATCATGATGGGCCAAGATATTACTTGGAAATCCGTAATAGTAAGTTGATCTAGCCAAATTATACAGATCAAAAGAATGTATCTTCAACACTTACCTGACGGTTTGTACCCTTCGAAAGTGAACGTCCCTACAACTGTCTTCTTCTCCCACGTGTGATCGGGAGTCATGGCGAATGAAGTCGACACGCTCTCGTCAGATATCGGTTTGTCGTCTCTGTGATAGTACCAGTGCACGCCAGCGGCGACACACAGCGTCCACACACCCAGGGCATACGCCTTGGAGAATTTCGAAGCCAACAGGGAGGCCTTGTCCGGACTGGGACCTCTCCCACGGACAGCGTCCGCCAGGCTCGAGAAAAATCCCTTTTTGCTGTCCTTCTTTGGCGGCGCATTCTTCATCCAATGCCACTTGTCGTCGGCCATACCGGTCAACAGTTTATCTTCTCCAGTTAGCAGCTAACGATTGCGATTACACGTGAAGGTCGAAGGCACTAAGGTTCACATGTTTTTCCTCACCGCCATTGCAAGGACTAGACCATTGTGTACAAGGTAAGTCTGAAGAAATTAAGGTCAAAGATAGTTTTCAAACGAAAGATACAGTACTCTTTATTACAGTTATATGAAAATAATTATATAGTAATCACTAAGTTACCATCCAGTCCATATGAAATCTGTGTTAGTGAACAGTCGTTACGATACAAGATTGGATCCCCTCCTACAGCGTAATGGTTTTAACCATCCCTTTAGTGCCCTTTGACCTAAATAAACGCGGGAAATCTTCAGTGTTTTGTGAGGCATCAGCTCTTAGCTCCCGCAAAGAACTATCTGTCTTGTTCATGAAGTGAACTTGAGTCGCGTATCACATCACTAGCAGCAGTTAGAACAGTCTGTAGCCACCAGCATGTCTGTGGAAGTTGATCTGAGCGGGGTGAGTGGCGAGACAGCGGCGGCGGCGAAGCTGCACCTCCTCCCGTGCGAGGTGGAGCACACCGGCCCCGCGCAGGTAACCCGCTTCTTCACGCCGGGCGTCAGGGACAGCGGGCAAGGAGGTGAGAAATACTAAATCTCCAAGCAGATTCGGTGGGGCAAGGGGACTTAATATGTTGGCCGCCTGTAGCGCCCGCCTGTATCCATATTTGGCCGCCTGTATCCAACGTTCGCTCCAAGTCCCCTTGCCCCACCGAATCTGCTTGGAGATCAAGTGCTTCATTCTTATCAGGAACCCATATCTGTACAAACTGGTCTCTGTCAGGGCACTTTCTTCAGTTGACATTCTGACCCCCCCCCCCATCTACCATAAAGGCTGGCAAAAGGCTGAAAATATTCAAATTTATAAGTTATTATATCTGATAAATTTGATATATATGATAAACTTGGTATGTATGATATAGGATACTGCCCCACATAATAGTTAGCATATTTGCATATACTGGGCATGTAAAAGCACTGCAGAAATAAGCCCCAAGTTGAGTCCTTTTCTGGATGGTACCCACACTACTCATGTGACTTTATTGCACTTTCAGTAGAAATATTCTATCAACAATTGACTTTATAAAATCAGTTTTTCTAGCCTTAAACCTGCATTGGGTATCTTTAATAGGTTTGAAATAAAAGTAAATTCTTCTGCAACTGACACAACCTTTTTACTTCATGAAGCGCTTCAGGCATCGTTTCGTGGACGGGAGCTGAGAGGAGAAAACGTTGCCCTGCCAGACGGTTACACGGGATTAGTTCTGAAGGAAAAGCACAAGGCAGTGTCAGACGAGGAGGTGAGGTCACAAATTATGTCACTATTGTTTCATCCTCACCTAATTGATAATGATAACAGCATATTTCTATAGCAAACTAGAGTTCCACGATCTCATACCTTCGCCAAATGATGTTAGCTTTTATGATTAAGAAATTATATTAATCCCCCTAATTATGCAAATAAGATCCTCATTTGTATGAATTATATCTGTTGATCATATTCTCCACCAAAAGACAGTCTTATCTTAACAAAGAATGCCATGATGAAATTTTCTCATAAATTATGCAAATGAGGTGCTTTTTTGAATAAGTTATGTTTAATTATGTTCATCTTAACTTAACTTTCAAACACCCCAAGTATAAAATTCCAGGCAGTTACCACTATGCAATTATAATATTTTCTCATTAATTATGCAAATTAAGTCTTCATTTGCATAATCGATATCTGCCTGTGTTTCTCTCATTCTTAATAAGATATGTCACAAGCTTGAACTTCCTATTATGGAATGCAGCTGATAAATAGAATTTCCTCATTAATTATGCAAATTACATCCATATTTGCATAATTGTAATATCATTATGTCAAGCATCACTCAAGCTACCTACATACCAAAAATCACGATGATCCATCCATCGGTTCTTGAGTTATCCCCCTTTAAACATTTGTCCATTAAACCCCCCTGCAGTTCTAGAGCAAGCAACTAGGGGGCTCAAACTCATGTCACTTTATCCCCAGCACAAGAGCTATCTACCCTCTAAATTTCGTCACCCTAGCATGTCTGGATCTTGAGATATCAAAACCGGAAGTTCTGCTGCAGTACCATGACAAGCCGCCAGGTGGCCCAAAATCTAATCATTTTGAGGTCTCATCAAGACCTACCCACCTACCAAGTATCAAGACAATCCATCAAGACCTTCTCAAGTTATCGTGTTGACAGACAGACAGACACACACACACACACACACATACACGAACGCCCCTGAAAACATAACCTTCTTGGCGAAGGTAATTATACTGGGCCGTATTTTTTATCAGTTCTGGGCTTAGTGTAGAAGAGTGTGTAGAAAAAGAATGCCTAGAAAATAAAGTGTAGAAAAAACTCTTAATCAGGCTAGCCTATCAATAGCTAGCCTTTGTCATTAGCATAGTTTTTGACAGTTGAATAAGTCAGTTTGCAGTTTATACTGTACATGCACATTGTGATGCGTGTTAGTAATATAGCAATGTTGAAGGTCTCTGAGACATGAAATAAAATACATCTGGACCATGCATGCACAGTCCAAACTGTTTACTGGCCTATTTTTCCCATCCATTGTCTTGTATCAGGCCAGAGTATTCCATGCAGCCCAGAAGTTCCAGGAGTTTACCTACTGGAACATGGAGACCCCTCCCAGTAAGAACGATGGCCTTCAGAAGGCCTTGCACTGGCTGGAGATCACCAAGGCAGTAAGTTTGTTTGCATGTTTGTTTGTTTAAAAAGTTAAAGAGCCTTCCCTCCTTAAGTGACTAGTCATAGGGTGGCGCCCATCTCTGTTTTCAATAGACCTGGGCCACACAACAGTGTAATCACTACAGCAGGAGGCATAGTGTTGTGTGTAACTCCCATACTATTTCCCAAATGCTGAGTGCTAAGCAGAGAAAGCAGTATGTAACGTTACCATTTTCAAAGTGGTATGACTCGGCCGGGGATTGAACTCATGACCTACGGAATGCTGAATTTATTTGTTTGAACCTTTGTTTGTTTATTGATGAGAAGCTCAAACTTGCATGCAGGCCACTTTTTACTGACATCATCAGACAAAATATAACAAATGCACATATTACATGTTTAACGGCCTACTAAATCTATAAACGAAGAGTAAGTATTCTTACACCCACATCATGGCTTGTCCTAGGTAGATTGGCGAGGTTGGCCATAGGCGTGAATGTTTCCTTCAGGCCTGCGCAGAGGTTTTATTTAAAGTGAAGACCGATGTGCACAGAACCAGCTCCACTTTAAGCTCAAGGTTCGTCTACCGTGGCCTAATGAGCTAGGACGGCGGCAGGGAGGTGGCCATGGTATCACAGAAACACACATAAGGCAGACAAAGTTTGCATATGGTCGTTAGGAGTCTGCTGGTAAGGGTTCTAATACATGTGCATGTATAATTATTTATACGTTGCATTGTTTTTTTCCTTTACAGATTCATTCACCAGTGGACAAGAACATCAGCCAAAATGGGTCACACACCAGAGTAAAAGTTGAAGATTCATCACCATAGTAGTTGTTCATGTCAGTTCTTCTAATCTAAAGGAACATCATACATGTATCAACAAAAGTGTCTTTTTCAAGTTCTTGAACTATTTTTTCACTTTCAAAACCTGTTTCCACATTTATCAGACTTGATTACATGGTTTACAGACATAAAAAGTTAAGGCAAGTGATCTACATTGAAAACTTCTACCATTTTTACTTTTGTCTATTAGAAGGTGGTCACTGGCTCTAGAACAGAAACAAAAACATGTAACGCCTTTCTTGTTTTGTAATTCTGACAACATGTAAGTAGGGCATGCATTGTAAATAATAAATCAGATGAAAGAGATAAGTATGTTCTTTTTCAGTGTTTCATACTGTAGATGTATGTAACTAGAAGCTTATGATACCCAAACTATGCAAGTCAATGTGATAGTTATACTAAGCCCAAAAGAAAGTATTCATTTGTCTTTTAGACTTCCATCAATATTACTGATAACTAAAATGCGACTATCCAAGACAAATTTTTGTGTTGCTACATTTAATACATGGCAACATATCACATTATCCCTTGTGATGTAGCTTTTTGAGCTTATGTCACAAAAACATTAAAATTTATATTGTAGAGTTGGGAGGTAAGAAATTTCTTTAAATTTATTCATTGATTTCAAGATAAAATAATACATGCACAGTAACATTCTCTTAACCTTAACAATTTTTGAACATATGCTTCCTTTTTGGAAAACTTAAATCTCTTTTCCCAAGTTTGACATAATAGTGTTCTAAGACAAACACTATGAATGGGGATGTTTTTGTGATATGAAGCATCTGATGTGATAAAACCTAATGATACACTATACTAGCTTGAAATCTTGCTATGTTAAGGCATCTGATGAGGTAAAACAAGACCTAATAATACACTAGTCTATACAATGTAGCTGCTTGAAATCCTGCTATGCGAAGGCATCTGTGATGACTTGCTTGGCCTCCGCCTGGTGGACCTCCCCCACTCCCACTGCAGGGGTTGCCAGGGTGCCACGCCCTGCATACTTCAGCTAGCAAACAAAACGTTCAATATTTTAGAAACTGTTATTAGCCTCTCGGCAATAACAGTTTCTGGAATGATCTGATGAGTTGTGTTTCATGTAAGCAATACATACAAGTGCACACCAATATGAAATTGCTTTTAACAATTGCATAATTGATGCATGATATAGCAACGTAAGATAGTCACTTGAATCATGAAAACTTAAATTTATATTTCATTTTGATAAAAAAGTCTTGGGTCCATTAATTTTCATATTACCCCTTTGCCTTGATATGTAAGTCAGTAGTATGCTTACATAGTAACAATCATCACAAATTACCCCTTAGAATGTTTTTTTTCTCAAACTTACACTTTTCTGTGATGTCTCAATGACCATTTTCATTAATGTTGTTGAAAAGTGTGTCTGCATAGATAGTTACCTTGCATGCTAAAAGATTTTCGAATCTTGGGTGAATGAATGACCATGCACCCATGTTCCTATGCTCTTCTTGACTCCAAATGAATTCTGTGAATGAAAAAAACAACAGTGCATGTCACATACTGGTAATAAAAACTTGTGCAACTTTCTTTGTGGCATGCAACAGGTTTATTTCCATGCATTGCCCATCTACACGTGAGCATCAAAGTGCAGTCTCCTTTGCAGACTTGTATGGGGTGGCGGCATTTTTTTTTTTGGTGAGTGATGCGAGTTATGCCTCGGAGAGAATGGTTTCGCCCCATTCTCTCCCCAACAAAACTCCCTTGGCGGCAAAGCATAACTTGTGTCGCTCACCAAAAAAAACAACTAACGCCGCTGCTACAAAGTTCACATAGTGCACGCACCTGATCTTCACCTCTAGTTTGTTTCAAAAACAAAATGCTGCTTCAACAGTTTCTGGGCAGGAGGCCAGGACTTCAATTTAGGCTACGTTAATGCAACTTCCACTTATTGTTTGTTTTGGTTGGTGAGGGCAAACCGAACTGTTGAAAATGTAAGGCAAATATTTTCTGGATCCTGAGTTTAAAGTGAAGGGCACAAGATTACTGCATGTTTTAAAACTCAGCTATGGTGGATGCATGGCCTTTGAGTTTGAAACATTTGGCCTTTAAGTTGAAACATTTGGCCTATATGATATTTGATGGGAGAAATTACAAATTTAAAGCTTTGTTGATCTTACCTGTAGCTTTGGAGTATTTCTTCATTTCTTCCCTGATGGCCTCCATTGGAAATGGACAGAGTTCCTGTATTACAGGAGAAGAAAGAATCAATAGACTGGGTTTATTTCCGTCGCTCTGTTCCACTTAAAATGTTTTATATCTGTATGTTACTATGATACTACAACATATACAATATTGATAAATTTCCACATGTTGAATCTACCTCTATTCTGATGATTGCCACCTCAGCAGCACCTCTGGCCTCCCTCTCTTTAGCCAAGCCGTAGTAGTGCTTACCGCTACAGAACACCACCCTGGTCACTCTGAAAACAGGAGACAAGACAACATTGATTTGTCACGAAGAAATCATGAAATATAAAATCTTTATTTGTCAGTTGCTGTGCATAATTCTTGATTATGTGTAAAAGGTGATACATGTATTGACCAGCGAAAACGTGACAAAAGAAAAAGACATTTGGAATTGACATGCCAGCAACTGAAAATTATACGATGAATGTGTGTCTGGCTGTGTCAGAGGGCCTTTAAATAAACTACTCCTCCTATGACTGCTTTACCTTGTTGGGTCTGCTCCTTGGTCTCCTAATACAGGTTTAAAGAAAGTGCCAGGTGCCATGTCTTCTAGTGTGGAAGTAGCAGCCTGCAAAATCATTTCAGAATAAGCATGGACATACATGCAAGAACAATCATATATTATCCAAACCGCAGTGATTTTCAAACAATGGAAGCATTCTGACAGTTACATAAAGTAACATTTATAATACACACTTTACAATAATCCTATACATGTACAGACTGTACATTAAGAAAAAAGGATGTTAACTTACTGGAAGTCTGAGAAGTATCTTGGGCCCAACAACTACCAAAGGCTTTCTGAAGTTTCTCACCATCTGTGTATTGGCAAAATAGCTATGGTAAGGATCACTACATCATCAGGGATGGGAAATGACATGTCTAGAATTTACATCACATCAAGTATTTAGCCTTTTGGCTCATCTACGCAGTGAGTTATTGACTTAGTAACAAGGAGCAGGAAAGACTGATTGAAAGAGTACAACGGAGAGCACTCCGGATCATCTCACTGGGGGGAAGACGTGAGGTGCCTCCTCTGCCAACGCTGAAGGAAAGGCGAGAGGTGGCGGCAGTGAAACTACTTAAGAACATGCTGGACGAGGGTCACCCCCTCCATGACCTGGTTCCGTCGGCCAGGACAACGGCCACTGGGAGGACCTTAAGAAATGGAACTGCACTCACAGTACCAGCAGCCCACACAAAAAGACTGAAAAACTCTTTCCTACATAAGGCAATATGCCTGTACAATGAATCCTTGCAGTAATGACTTTTCAAGGCTCTCTGGACTTCACTTCAGTGCCCATGTGTGGCTTTGTAACATGTTTGTCAGCGTGTCTGTATATGTATAATTTGTAATGTAAATGTGTATTTGTATTTGCTTTGTACAAAATTGTAAAAATCAGTGTAATTCAGCTTGGTTGACTTTATTAATAAAACCTGAAACTCAACAGGATTTAAAGGTTGCATATGGATTAGTTGTTTCAGAATGATGTTAATTGTTGTTACATTTCAACACAGTATTAGTATTGTATAGCATAAAGAAAGACAGTACTGTCAGTGTTTTAGTGATCCAACAATGTGTGAAGCTAGCCTGGTTAGCACTGGCTGGCTTAAGGGTGTTTTACTGGCCCCAGATCTTTTTCTGGCAGCTTACATTTTGTGACCTTTGTGGCCTTTTTGATAGTGATAACTGCCTTCTTGTTGTACATGTAATTGAAACAAACATCATATGATTCATAAGGATTTCTCCAAAATTCTCCAGCACTGTAGAGATACCAGGAAGGAGCATGGTTTAAAGCACAAGTATCCTTACCTGTCTCCTGATCAGGTGGAAGTACTGTGCAGGTGTGGTGGGGTTCACCAGCTGCATGTTGACGTTATCCCCGTCCACTCCATCCTCCTTACTGTCACACAACTGGGAAGGGGGCACAATGCAAGCAATATCTGTTTTTGTTTACATCACATATTCATTCTTTCCTAGAAGTATTGCAGAGTGGAACTCGCTGTCACCAAGTACAGTAGGGGCATTATCATTAGATGGCTTTAAACAATGTTTAGAGTTAGATGTTCAAGGATTAGGTGTAACAAGTCGTTCGCTGTAATGTAGCCAGCTGCCGCCATGCCGCGTGTCTGCGAAGCTGGTGTGTTACACCGAAGGGCAGTTTTACTGGCTATACAGATACACATTGTACATGTACAGATACATACTTTCAAATTATTGGCAGGCAAATCAACCGTTGCCTGCTTAATGCCTACCACTAGCTGGCCGTAACATCATGGTGATCTCTCGTACAGGAGAGAAATACATACCAACAGACAGTACATAATGATGGCAACAATACAACACTGGGCCAACATTTGCCAGTTTCCTTCATGACATTTTTAAAAGAAGTTTTGTTCTGAATGCATATGGGGTACTGGTCCAGCTTTTTTTGTTTGACCTGTCCAGAGTTAAAAATTTATACCCAGTGCAACTTCTGGGGCCTGGGGTAATTCTATGCAATTTGTAATTGGCTAGTGACTGAATTTTTACTATACGTAATATACAATGTATTAGGTAGGGTTTATGAATTTACAGTAATGTGCAACAAGCACCAAGAATTTTGAGTAACTTATGCCCACACTGCTATGAGCTTAGTTGGGATTTTGTGAGACTTGACCCACTGTTTTGTTGTTTTACACCCGACTATTTGAGATAACACTAAATTTGGGTACACCAAGCTTCAGTCTTTAGTCCCCAGCAAAGTAAACAGGATCTTTCCCTTTGGAGGGAAACATAATTATATTTATTTGTTGACTAAAAAGCTTTTTTGTTGACTGTCTGTTAATCATTCATCAATCATCAAACACAAACACCTACACCTATTCAAATTTACGAGGGCGCCATTAAATGTGATATTAAACATAAGTAATATTTATGAATGTTGCATAAAGTGTAAAGTGCACTTCAAACTTTATTGTTCAATCAAACTTGCAGTTTTTACCGGGACTGAACTGCCTTGATTTTACAGTGCTCTTTACAGGGTTGCCGTTATAAATCAGATGGCACCCAGGCTACGTAAATCACTGAGTGTAATTGATTAAAATACATTGTATAAACAGCATAAAACAATATATCATTATGCAAGAGTATAAAAATTTGTTGGCATCAACAATAACGAATGTAAGCATAGAGTTTTGCAGGCATCACATGGATGAATATGAAATACGAACCTGTAGCCACCTCTCTATCCTGCAGGAGGAGTGCTCTGGTCCGGCCCCGTCCATGCCATGTGGGAGAAGGATGGTCAACCCACTCTGCAGCAGCCACTTTGCTGGACAAACAAGACAGGCACATTTAATTAGTACACATATGTTTGTGAAACTGTGTAATTTTTTTGTGTTATGTCATTCTGTACTGTATGTGATTTCGTCATACAGTGCATGTATGTTTGTATTGTACAGTCTGTTATTCATGCTTTGTATACCCAGCATTGCCTGAAAAGCTGGTTTTTATCTACCCGAGTGTTACTGCTGACAAAATAAAAAAACTGAAACTGCTACAAGAAGAAAGACATCCTCACTTCTCCCATGCCTTTTTTTCCCTTTAGCTAAACGTTGGTATAGTTTGAATAAAATATACTATTTAATTTAAGCTCTTTTCAGAAGTAGAATGGACAACACTTATACATGTTTGTAGTTGCGACCTTAAGTATGTTTGTGTATTTAAAGTGAAGGTTATTCTTAATTACTTCTTAAAAGGTTCCTATTTTGGGATTTGTGTAAACAGAATAATGGACATTGAGAATAACCAATGACATTACACAGATAACCAAATACTTAACTGTGAAGAATAGTTTCCTACAAAAACTTCACAAGGCTAAGGCCATGTTGATTTGATTATATGGATGACATCCGCGCGCGCATGAATTTTCGGCCGTTTCCAAAAAAAAAAGTTTTCAACCATACTGTAAATCGTACAAAACAGTTGCAAAATGAGCAAAAATATACCATAAATTACAAAAAAAATTAATAAAAACTATACCAATGTCGTAGAATGCCAAAATCAAACGAAAAAAGACGAAATTGTAAAGAAATGAACTTGAAGACTAGATTATTCACCAAACCATATTCTGTGCCATTTGTTCAACCCTCATGACCACGTAGATTTCATAATGAAAAGAACTTTTTTTTTTGCAAAACTTTTTTTTTATTCGCACGCGCGCATCAGTTTTGGGGCTCCCGGAAGATGTCATCCATATAATCAAATCAACATGGCCTAAGTTAGAGAAACATGGCCTACTATCCATGAATCATTTTGCTATAATTATGATTCAAAATCTATTTGTATTCAATTTCATACATTGTAAATATCAGGAGAATGATCTTTTACGCTCTAACTAGACAAGTCAAATAGAGTAGCACAATGTGCCACCATCAACATCCACATCTCTTCCACTTCTCGGATGTCCTACAGAGCATTACCAGAGCTTTAATGGTGACATTAGCACATTCCGGTTCCCATGTATTCCTTTGTTATGACGTTGGTGATGGTCATTGTCAAGACGGAAGAAATTACAACTCAGCCTGGTAAGAGCAGAGCAAACCGGTGCTCAGCCTTCCTTGGAACTACACGGAAACTCCCTCCTACACTTTTCCATGGCTACCTTCCAGGTGAATTATCACCCATTAGCAAGGTAAACAAGCACCAGCCAGGTTATGTGGTACTGGTCACATAGCCACTTGTTGTGGGGATATAAAGCAAAGGAAATATGCTAAGTTAAACTCAAACAAGCGGTGCAACTGTGGGGACACAACAGGTGGAGACAAGGGCCAGCTAGGGACATCAGCAAGACAAAAGGTTCACCACTAGAGTGCAAGACAGGTTTCTTTTGCTGGGTTTCTGAATGTCTTTTAGCACATTGTAAGACACTGGGCAGGACTTTTTTATGAAGACAAGGAGCAGACTAGGTAAGCTCCCATCTTTTGTGTTTTTTGTCATACAAGACTACGAGAGCAGAGAAGGAAAGGTACCAGTCATAAGGAGAGTACATGGATCCAGTCAAAGTTTGAGATACTGAGAAAGTTCATACAAGCAAGGAACAGTTTTCCAAAGGGGTACAGTCACTAGTTCAAGACACACAAACATGTCTTCATGCCTGAAAATTGCAAACTTTTCCTACATGTACAATGACTCCATCAGAAACACATCTGAGGCGTGCCACGGAAGGTTAGAATGGACAGATGAACTCTACTTGGACATGCAGGCCAGAATACTGCTGCTCGTGTTTGTGAACGGCCCCATTTGCCTGATCACACTAATTGGGAACAGCCTGGTCATTCTAGCCGTTGCCGTCACGAGAAAGCTGCAAGTCGCCACAAACTTTTACATCGTCAGCCTGTCAGTGGCAGACATGATCATTGGCGTGATCGCAGGAACGTTCCACATCTTTTCCACGCTCCACGGGCATCCGCTTGTGACCGAGGACTATGGAAACTGCCTCTTCTACTGGATCACGCTGATCAGTATCTTCTGTGCCTCTGTCTTTAACCTTCTCGCCCTGTCCATTGACCGGTACGTAGCCGTCATGAAGCCGCTGCACTACCACACCATCATGACCTGGAAGGCGAGGACAGGACTGCTGGTCCTGGTGTGGCTGCTGGCCTGTTGCGCCGGCATGTCGCAGCTGCTCAACCTCTGCTACCCGCTGCAGTTTCTGAAGACGGGGGAGTGCAACGTCATGGACATATTCAACCACTACAACATCGGCCACTTCTTCATCACCCCAGTCTTCATCTCTCTGGTGTGCATCATCGTCATGTACAGTCTGGTTTTCCGGGCGGCCCGGAGGCAGACACAGAGGATCTCGGCCGTGCAGCCGATGATGACCACTGAGCAACGGAGGCAGAACGTGTTCCTCGGCACCCTGAAAGCCGTCAAAACTCTCAGCATCATCCTGGGCTGCCTGCTGGTGTGCTGGCTGCCGATGATACTGATAATGTGGCTCACGATCATCACCGGAAAGATAGGCTTGGATTCGAGGACATTCTTTGGCTTGGTGTACATGTTGCCTTTCACAAATTCTGCTGTAAACCCTATCGTGTATGCATACAGGGACAAGGCATTCAGAAAGGCGTTTTACAGCATGTTTTGCAAGATTTGTAGAAAGGAGGGACAGGGCAGCAACACGGCTGTTCGCAGGCATGGGTCCAGAGCATCAAGGAATACAGTGGGACACATATCGCAAATTGAGCTGTCTACTATTAGTTCCAGGGGAAATTTGTACCGGTAACTCACATTGACCGAAGGCTAGCCAACTTACCAGAAAATCAGACTTTGAAGTTGGTATGTCTGACAACACTAATCATAATGCACTATAGTTAACTGACTGCAATGAAATGTACACCATTGCCATGACATAGTAGTGTAAACTACTGCACCTGTATGTATTAGTATTGACGTTCATTTTACATTTATGTATGTATATCAAAGGTACTTGAAATATCAATCACAAGACTCAATCCCTTATAACTACAGACAGTCATAAAGATGAAGTAATTTCTTTTGTCGGATATGACTATTGGTAGCATATGAGATACCATTACTAAATTTCTGATTACAGAATTTGCTTTTGATCTTTCATGATGACAACATTTAGTATTAAATTGTATTTCAATTCATATGTAAATGCTGCTTTAATCTTTTGGATGTCAGCTATGTGTAGCTATAAGTAGCTCTGTGTAGATTGCTGTTGTTTAATTTTGAATTGAATTTACAAAGCCGCATCAAAATTGAAAACAGTTTGCAAGTGTGCGTCAGAAGTGTATGAAACATACAATGTAGTTGTGTAATATGTACCCTGTGGACAAAACCTGCTGATGTAAAAGTCATCAGGAGAGCTACTGGCGATTCCTGTGTTTACTTTCCTCCTACAGCAGATGGGGAAATGGTCGGCCATTAGGCCTGCCTGTGTCAACATCCTTTAGTGGGAGGGTGGGTGTTGACATAATCATCAGGTAGGAAAACAAATGACGTGAACTGTTACGTGAAATCACGTAGTACACACAAAACACAGACACAAAACACTGCTGACAAGCAACATGGAAGACTTGCATAACATTGCAACAACTGCAAGTGACTTTAGGTTCATTGCTCTTTGCTTTGATTATCATATTTTGATTTTTACATACAAAAAGAATTGAAATTGAAAATTGAAATTGAAAATTGAAATATACCTGTTTCCCATAAGGACACTTCATCATTAGTCACCATCAGTCTACTGTATTGGCCGCATTCTCTTTTTAGCGAACGCCCACGAAAGCCCAAAAATTGTCGCACGAATCTTAAAATTTTTTGTGTGGTCATGTCCAGAGTGTGCTCGCGGGTGTCCATGCCAAGTTTGAATCGAATCCATCGAGCCGAACTTAAATAAATCGAAATTTACTGGTTTTTTTCTCTTCTTGGCGAACGCCCACTTTACTTCCGGGTTCGCTGCGAACGCCCACTACTCTTTGCAAAATTTCGGCCCTCGCGCAACGCCGGCAAAATCCACCACCACAAATATGTTCCTATATGCCTCCCCTGAAGTTCTGACAAGTTTCCGTGCTTTACGTGCTTTTAAAGTACCCATTTTTTTTACAAAATATGCGCTGCGACGTGCTCGCCGCCTCGGCGTATACGTTTCACCTGGTCACATGACTTGCGGTCGGGGACTGTTCGATAATTTCATGATCAGCGGGAGGGAGGACAGGAAGGGCAGAAAAACGCAATCTACCGCACAAAAGGGGCAGAATTTCGTGTTTGTAAGATCAAACATAAATGATTTCCTTTCTTACATAATTTTCACCTCGGTTCTAGTAGTGACACCGCCGGCGACAATTACCATGTTGTAAAATTGTTCTGCTGAACTATAGACAGACGCAACGTTACAGTACGGAGGGGGCCCTAAATTTTTGTCGGCGCCGCTCGCCACGTTCGTTGTAAACCACGTCCGCGCTGATTGACCGCCCCATCAGTGAGCAACAAATGATCGAGGCGGAGAAGTTCGACCGGGCGGGGAATTTTAATGTGCTACCGTATTTAAAATTTGACACCGAACCCAAAACAACAACGAGACTGCTGAGACGCGAGCGAAAGAGTTTTTGAAAAATATCTCGTTTAGTAAACTACTGCTCATGTCACAAAATCAAAGGAATAAAAACTTTGCAGCATTGAATGCTTCTGGCCGCTTGCTTCCCACGTTGTGTTGTCAAGACGACGGCACGTCCTGGTCAGACAAAGCGGCGTCACGCCCACAGCAGCACGCACATGGGCCCCACCCACCGGCGGGCAGCAAAGGATTTCAAAGACTTCGCCCAAAAAACCCTATCATTGTAAGGCCATGCCTTGTACATCTACCCATCATTTTAACGTAATACTGGCTGGTATAGTCCCGCTACAAAATAATTTTCTGCGGCATTTGTTTATATTTAAATAGATTTGTGATACGTAGTAAAATGATGTGTGTCATTTCAACCTTTGTAACGGCATGGCTATAACATTTGTTGAAGATTTCTGTGTTTAACTATAGCCGAAAGTGCATCAGAACTGACCATCAGTTGAAGCGCAACTGTCATGTTATACTAGTAACGTTATTCACTACGTTACGACGACTTGCGGACCATTTTAAATCTTACCATCTTACCACTCATAAATCTATTTAATAGAATTTCGTTCATACTTACGGGGGTATTTATTTTCGGCCGGGGTTCCACTGAGATATCGGCGGCTGGCTGGCGACCATCCCGTCAGCTTGACCGAGCACCGCGACGTGAGTGACCTACATTATCTTACCTTGCATCTTCTCGTTTTACCGCAACTTCGTGTCAATATCGACGATACACACATGAAATACGTTCATTTATTAAAGTTTAACTTTATTTTCACGCGTCAACATTATCATCCGACATTTTATGTACGAATCGATGTAGTGCAATTCTCCTTGCCGGTTTTCGCTATATTCGTCGGTAGTCGTTGGATTTGTCGGGGAAAACCTCAAATAAGGTACTTTTTGTATTTTGAAAAGTTTTCAAAAGTGCGTACTTTATTCGGCGGTGTCACTACTAGAACCGAGGTGAAAATTATGTAAGAAAGGAAATCATTTATGTTTTGTGCGGTAGATTGCGTTTTTCTGCAACCCTTCCTCCCTCCCGCTGATCATGAAATTACCGAACAGTCCCCGACCGCAAGTCATGTGACCAGGTGAAACGTATACGCCGAGGCGGCGAGCTCGTCGCAGCGCATATTTTGTCAAAAAATGGGTACTTTAAAAGCACGTAAAGCACGGAAACTTGTCAGAAATTCAGGGGAGGCATATAGGAACATATTTGTGGTGGTGGATTTTGCCGGCGTTGCGCGAGGGCCGAAATTTTGCAAAGAGTAGTGGGCGTTCGCAGCGAACCCGGAAGTAAAGTGGGCGTTCGCCAAGAAGAGAAAAAAACCAGTAAATTTCGATTTATTTAAGTTCGGCTCGATGGATTCGATTCAAACTTGGCATGGACACCCGCGAGCACACTCTGGACATGACCACACAAAAAATTTTAAGATTCGTGCGACAATTTTTGGGCTTTCGTGGGCGTTCGCTAAAAAGAGAAACCCGTATTGGCGGTCAGGGTTACTGACCCTTACGGGGTGACATACCCTTTCGTTAGCTCAGTACAGGATGGGGTGTGCCTACTAGTATGTGCCTACAGATGGTAAAGGTCCCTAAAAGTCGTTTTTTTAAGGACATAGTGGCAGTGGCTGTATATAGAACATGGTACATGTATTGGAAGGCAGAGCTCATCTTTCTCTTTCCCTCACCTTTTACCTCAGGTACTATTTTGCACCAGGGATAGCCTGGGCGTCATCCATTTTGTCACAGGCATCCTTGCACTCATTTTTTTTCTGGTAAGTGCAAGAAGCTCTGTTACAACATGGATGGCATGCAGAATACACCAAGGATACATGAAGAAGAAAAAGGACACCTAAAGCATGCCCGTAGCCAGGATTTTGAATGGGGGGGTTCTTCCCACTGCTCGGGGGGCGGCGAGGCGAGCGCCAAAGGTGCAAGGTTCCTAGGGGGGTCCAGGGGCATGCTCCCCCGGAAAATTTTGAAAAATGAACCTTCTAAAATGGCATTTCGTGCATTTTCAAGAGAATTTCCAAGAAAAAATCAGAGATAGATTTTTATTCAATGACAAAGGGAGCAGTTTTTCTACAAAAAATGTGGACCAAAAAGTGGACCTTTACATTATGTGGACCAAAAAGTGGACCTTTACATAAAAAGTGGACCAAAAAGTGGACCTTTGAGCCTTGTGGGGGGAACCCCCCTGGCTACGGGCATGTAAAGATAAAGAAATGTGAATCTACACATAATACATTCATTGAAAAGTTGAAATTTTACGTACTTTCTCCAGAGGACACAAAGGTGTCGATGATGACCTGAGCACCGTTGAAGAAGTCTCCAAACTGAGCCTCCCAGATGATCAGGTTCTGGGGACTCTCAATGCTCATGCCATACTCAAACCCAAGCACTGCCTCTTCTGACAGACAGCTGTTGGCCACCTACAGAAAGGTGTGAACATGTTAGATAAAATTTGGTCGAAGTTTCTAGATACACATGAAAGCAATTTCAAAGCTTTAAACAACACTTTACCTGAGTAGTTACATGTGCAAAGATTAGGTGTGGCAGTTAATTCAATGTTCACCAGTTGCCGCTGTGCTACATGCTGTGAAGCTGGTGTGCTACACCTAAGGCAAAGGGCACTTATACTGGGTATACAGGTACAGATACAATGGTCTTATTGTGCAGACAGGTTGTCACTATAGACAGGGTTCTTAATGCTTACATGTAAGTCATGATCATTGGGATAAATTATCTAAATCATGGTCACACTGGCCTGGTAGTCCTTATGTATGCAGAAGTGACCACTTGTACAAGTTTGAATGTTTTGCCTTCACATATAAGACATCACCTCCAGATATCCAGACTGGTTGTCTGAGATGTCGTTGAGTGGAATGTGCATCCTGTCGTCGTCCTGGTCTATCAGCATGAAGTGTCGGTGGCTGAAGGTTCCCCTGCCAACATCCTGGCCACTGATGCGCACGTTAAACCCTTCAAGAGAGAAGGACTTAGTTAATATCAAAAGATTCAGAATAAAAAAAATTATAGCTTCAGCCACTATCAAATCAAATCAAATCAAATCTTTATTAAACATCAACATGGCAGACGTGCCGAAGTACTTCGGGCACATCTGAATTACATTGACATTTTACACGCTTAAAAACTACATCATCATTTAAAAATCGACATCATTAAGAATACATAGATTAAAATAGTAACATTTTCAGTTTAAAATACAACATATATAATATATATACAATACACATTTACAGGTCTTTGATAGCTCTGACAATGAATGAGTTTTTATGTCTGTCCGTTCTGCTTAGTGGGAGTTTACACTGATTGCTGTGATAGTTCTTCCTGAGATTGTACGCATTTTCCTCTCTTGGTGGGATAAAGTCATTGCAGGGGTGTGAAGGATCCTTTAGTATTCGTTTTAGTTCACTCAGTGATGCCTCCCTCCTCCTGGACTTGAGAGTGGGCAAGTAACCGTGTGGAACTCCGCAGATCCTGAGGCACAGCTTCTGGATCCTTTCCACCTCGTCTGACAGACAGCGCGGAAGACCGGCCCATACGGGGGACCCATACTCTAACACAGGTCGGATGAAGGACTTGTAGATTTGCAGTAGCACTTCCGTTGGGAGGGCAGCGCGCCTGGCTACGCGCAGGTAGTGTATGCGCGGCTGGACCTTTGCTAGCATGTACTCCACATGAGGTCCCCACTTCAGGTCGTTGCTGACCACAATTCCAAGGAGCTTGAAGGAGGTCACTCTCTCAACGGACTCACCATTCAAGGTAAGTGGAGGGGGTACTACAGGGCTGCGGCGACAACTGATGACCATATCTTTGGTCTTTTTTGCATTGGCACTCATGCAGAAAGAGTTTGCCAGAACGCTATGAGAGTTTTGTGGATGGTAGCTGCCTCCAGGCATCTTTTCCCTTCCAACTTCCTGGCCACTGATACGCACATTAAATCATTCAAGAGAGAAGGGCTCTGAGTTAATGCCAACAGATTTAGAGTTGAACGTTAAGAGCTAGAGCTACAGACATTACATTGTAGAGTGGATTAATTCCTTAAGCCAACCAACATCTATCACACTGCAGTCATTCCTCATTGAGGCATAGAGAGCAGACCCATCTTTGGTTCTGAACATGATTAACACACATTAAAACAGACCTGTCCTTGGTGCTGAACACCATCCACACACCTTGGGACAGACCTGTCCTTGGTACTGAACACCATCCACACACTTTAGACCAGACCTGTCCTTGGTGCTAAACACCATCCACACACCTTGGGACAGGCCTGTCCTTGGTGCTGAACACCATCCAAACCCATGGGGGCAGACCTGTCCTTGGTGTTGAACACCGTCCACACAGTCAAACACAACTGTCCTTGGTGCTGAACATACAAACACCCTTTTCCCTTGCATCCTAAAATGAATTTAATAGGAAACAGAAGGAAACAGAATAGGAGAGGCAGGCCTGAAGGCCCTGTTGAAAGGGATCAATACCAAATCCTTTCTTTCCTTGCAGAGGTATATTGTAGCATCTATAACTACAGTATTTACCTTGATATAACAGAGATCCCACAGCAAGTGCTTCTGCTGTAGCCCAGTCCAGACCTGTTCCCACCTCCATCTTCTTCTTACGGACATCGACCAGTGTTTTCTGTAGGTGTGGGTGCACTGCCTACAAGAGAGTTAGAGAGGTTATTGTGTTAGCTTTTTTTCACCCAAAACTGCCTACAAGTGAGTTGGAGAGGTGAATGGGAGCTTTCTTTTCATTGCAAACATGCTAGATAGAGAATGCCTTGATATTTTCCTTCTAGTACTTTTAATCATCTTCTACCCAAACCTGCAACTGTAGGCATATGTTTTTTTTGTTTTTCTTCTGATATTCATTTGTGTATATATATATATATATTGACTAACACGTGATAAATGTTAGTAACTTACCAGGTCTGAGGGCACCTCCACTGATTTGGCACCAACATACTTCAAGAGGTTGGCATCAACACCTATAAAGCAATGAGAGGGTAAACAGAAAACAAATTTTGAATGTACTTCAACATCATGTTTGTTTGTTTGTGATTTTCTTTTTTTCTGAACTGCTAAAGAAAAATGTGACATTGGTTGACCAGCAGTATCATAGTGACTTTCACTGTAAATTACAGAGAAAAAAAGCAACTGTTGAAGACAAAGGGGAGGCTAACTTGAAAGGTAACCTTACCCGTATCCCATGTTGTTATCTGAGAGGAAGCTTGAACGAGTCCTGTCCATTGTTTCTGAAGGTGTCTGGCTTGTGGTGGGAAACTGTCCAGCCTGCTGAAGTGATCTCCAAGCTTTGCCATGCAGTCAGCATTGATCTTAGCTACATCTTCTTTTGTCAGCAAACCATCATTCTGCACAAAATAATGTTGACATAAGGCCACACCAATTTAATTTCTTGGTTAACGGATTCGCCGCTTCATTTTTTTCTGATTTGCAAATAAAAATAAAAATTCAGAATCAGCTGCAAAATGCTCATATTTTGCCCTGAACAGTTGAAAACAGTCCTTTCATCCTAGTTGTTACAGATATTCCATCTTTCAATGCAATGGTATCATTAAAAGTTTAAAATTCATTGTTGAAATTTTGAATCAGCCTGGTGTGTTGACTTCATGGCTCCTATCGTACCATTTTGGGCCATAATAGGATCCCTAGGCCTGTTTTTATTTTTATTTTTTTTTTCGACCGCCCGCTCCATTATTTTTGTAAAAAAATCCGTTAACCAAGAAATTAAATTGGTGTGGCCTAACAATCATTTCATGGCTATGTACATGTTTGTACAAGTAACAGATTGTATATCCTGTATATACACACATACGCACTGCACCTCAGTTTACTAGAAGACATCAACTACATTTATCTTTTTGAATTTGAATTTGACTATTGATATACTGTATCATTAACAAGTGTCTAACAGAATGTTTACAAAAAATGCAGTGAAGTGTTACATTTTTGAGTGTGGTATGCCAGGTACATGTTGATAAAATATACAGGATCATTACCACAAGTTGTTCAGCATAGACATCAGGAACACTCTTCCCCATGTCGTACCTCCCCCGGATCACTTTGTACATCACAGGCTGGGTAAAGGATGGGTCGTCCAACTCATTATGGCCCCATCTGTAGTAATACCACCAGTAATAAGCATTGAAGCCACATTATCATGATCACAACCTTGAAGTGCAATACTTGAAGTGGTTTTGAGTAATTTACCAGATATACAGGATTTTTTTTGTCTATGAAGAAGTTTTAAAGTGGTCAATGCGCAGCAAAATATTTTGACACCGGACAGGCCTATCCAGCCAAACCTCATTTGTTTATTTGTTTATAATCAAGGCAGTACCAATAAATATCAACCTTATTTAGCATACTGAATTAATATGATTCACCTCAGTTGTGAACGACTGCTTTACCACTACCGTTTACACTGAAGTAGCCATTTCTCTATTAATATTGGTTACAGGGCTAGGCAGCAGGAAGAAGGTTAGGCATTAGGCCATGTTGATTTGATTATATGGATGACATCCTCCGGGAGCCCCAAAACTGATGCGCGCGTGCGAATTAAAAAGAAAGTTCTTTTCATTATGAAATCTATGTGGTCATGAGGGTTGAGCAAATGGCACAGAATATGGTTTGGCGAATAATCTAGTCTCTAAGTTCATTTCTTTACAATTTCGTCTTTTTTCGTTTGATTTTGGCATTCTACGACATTGGTATAGTTTCTATTAATTTTTTTTGTAACTTATGGTATATTTTTGCTCGTTTTGCAACTGTTTTGTACGATTTACAGTATGGTTAAAGACTTTTTTTTTGGAAACGGCCGAAAATTCATGCGCGCGCGGATGTCATCCATATAATCAAATCAACATGGCCTTACAGTAACTGTTCCATCCACCCACCTCCTGAAACACAGCATGTCCACTATCACATCCCTGCGGAAGGTCTGTCTGTAGGACATGGCCAGCTTGGTAGCCTTGATGACTTCCTGCCAGAGTTAAACGAAAATCAATTCATGCTTGAAGAAAAATACATAACACGCACACGCACACTAACCAGTAACAATTCTGTGGTGCTGTTTAAGACAGTGCAGAGAAAATCAGAAGGTGGTTTTCCATTGAAAATCTTGTCAAAGGTGTATCAGCTGCTGTAACTAACCTCTGGGTAGTCTCCATTGACATGTATTACTGCACAGTCAATCATTTTGGCAATGTCACTGCTGTAACGACTTGATCTGCAAAGTTACGTACGAGCAACAGTAAGTACATGTACCTCCTATAGAGAAATGATCTGAACGCTCAAAGCATATTAAAGGTCTTTAAATTTCAGCATTCTGATCATTGTATCTACAGAACCTATCATCCTGGTATTTCTTCTTACTAGGGTTCACTATCAGTGCACACCTTCTATTCATCATTCTATTCTACTCTATACTTCAATGCAGACTATATTACATATACAAGCAATGTATGTACATTGAAGCAGGATCCTTTCCTAATACTCCAAATATCTTACCAGTGGTACTACAGTATTTTCATGATGAATGTAAAATATGAAGAAGCCTGTTCAGTACATTGAATTATTAGTAAGTTGGAGGATGGAAAAAAAAAGTTGAAAAGGGAAAAAATGCCAAGCCTACCTCCCCCTTTCTGCACCAGTGGTGAAGCCCAGCTGATTGTTGGCGATGAGATGTACCGTGCCTCCCACGTGGAAATGAGGAAGATCCGCCAGACCCAGAGTTTCTGCTACGACACCCTGCAATACAACACACCAAGGATGGACTGAAACTTTTGTATAGTCTTAGCATACTATAGTCAATGTGATAGTGTAACTTACACAAGTAATAAGTGAAGCTTTAAAGCAGAAAGAAAAAGAAGCAGAGAACAGTAATGGCAGGAACTATCAGTACCAATAACAATGTTTTCTGACAGACATTCAAATCTGTATCTGACTTAGTGCTGAACTGGATATTGCTAAAATATTACATACCTGTGACTGGACTTCTCCTTGGTACTGAACTGACCATCGCTAT